TGCTGCCAATCCTGCTTCAAGCTCACAGCAGCAATTGACAACTTCCTTCACAGCCAGGGGTCACCTGGAATAGAGTTACTCCTTGTCTCAGCCACCTACTCATGCGACAGATACACTCCAGGATAGAATAGTAACCACAAGACAGTGCTGCATCTTTTAGAACTTTCTTTGCTCAAACCAATATTCACCGCAGAACGTTGGGAAAGGTGTTGGATGTGCATGGTACCAATTTTGAAGCTGTTTGGAATATTGTAAAATTTTTATTAAAACAAGGGCACATGGATTATTTGATTGTTTTGTTCTTTCCTACAGGTATGGGAACTCGAGACTGGCCTCCAAATATACCAGATTTTAGACCCTCATGGTTTCAATGTTGAACTGACTTCCGCGGCTATTGATGAAAGTGGATTTCTTTTTGCCACAGGAGCATATAATGGTCAGACTAATATCCAGAATACGGCCTCCCTGCTTTAGTGTCCTGAGAATTTGTGCTGGGAACCCATTAGTTGTTTGGGTTAGAGGGAGAGTGTGGATCAGGCTGGAGTATGTGAGCATGCCGGTCAAATTGCAGTGCCTGACGAACAGTGATGGACCCTTCTCTAATGGGCATTAGTGTCCTGATACTGATGTTCAAAACAATCAGTACCTTACATTACACTTATATAGTTGTTCTGCAGGTTGCAAAAGTCTTTCACACATCCCGTTTCATTCCGTCTTCGGTGGATCTCATCTGCGTTGCACTGTTCGGTCTGTCCTTCTACTTTTGGGTACCATCAGCTAAGGGATAGACGTTAGATTCAATGCTTGCTGATAATGTTTTTACTGACAGTAGATTTGGGAACTAGACAAAACATCCAGCCAACTTTGTTACATAACACCTAGAATTCTATGCTAGACTTGTTTATAAGTCTAAGCTCCTTGAGGGCATGTGCCATGTCACACTCAAGAGGCTCAGGCTGTGCTATGTCCTTTGATGCTCCTCACGCTGTGGACACTGTATAGAACTTACTGGAACTACATAGCTGCACACTGCCTCATTTTCACTTCACCTTGACCTTCCGCGTAAGAACCGCTTTATCTAGACACCACGACCAGCTGCATGCACTGCTCAGAATATATTTATTCCAGGGATGTATTTACCCAATAGATTCTGGCTTATAAGGCAATTGATGGATTAAGTGAACATCCTGATGTGAAAGTCTGATTTTTCTAAAGTGTGAGCAGATAACAATACATGTGAAATAAAACCATGAAGGCCGAGTTGATGGGGTGTGAATAATGCAACTGCTCTTCATGTGGGACAGTTCTTGAGAAAGCAGTCTGACTGCTCTATCAGCACACCCTGCATACATGTGAAAATCAGTTATCATCGAGATTCTGAGCAACATACACAACGATGATCAGGCATAAGCATTAAGCAATTCATATATACAATTGAGAGAGTATTATTTTCATGCAAGTCATATTTTATTTTGTTAGTGCTAAAGTCTAGAATTCTTTTAAATATTGACAGTTTGTCCTCCTTAGAGATACATGTTAATTGACAAAGATCCTGGGTCTAGGACCTCATAGAAAGTAGGGGTCCTAGTTTAGGACTCCTAGAGCAGCTCTACCCACAAGCCAGCCATCCGTCTCACTCTCAACCACCCACCACCTAGGAAGAGCCAAGCAGTACCTCTCCCTGCTCTCTGCCCCGCTATATCTGACTGCCAAAGTCCTGAGGGAGCAGGAAATCTGGGCCATGAGACTGTGGTCCCCATACCCAGGAATGAATGGGAGCATGATCGTTTCTTTTAATTGTTTGTATGACTATTTTCCTACAAGATGATAAAGTCCTTGAGGGCAGGAGTTATCCCTGTTCACTTTCCGTCCCCAGCTCCTATCACAGTGCTGGGTATATAGGGAGGGCTTAATCAATTTTAAATGATGTTGCTAGTGAACGAACAAACAAATGATGGGGGTTGTGAGTATTGCTGATGAAGAGAACCTGGCATAAGGGAAGGGAAACAGCACAGCGAACACATTCTGAATGTCCAGCAGCATTAGAGCTGGGGACAAGAAGGCGGTGTTGGGGGGGCGGTGTTGAGTTTAGGGAAAGGAGGAAAGTGCAATGAGGGGCAGTCCACTGGATTCTAAACCTGAGGTGACCGTTATAAAAACCCATGTCCAAAGATAATTCTCTACATCAAGTAGAAATAGGCATTCAGCAACTCCCCTGATTATCATCCCTCCTGGCCCTTTCATCAAGACCCCGTAAATCACATGAACAAAATTACCTGTAAAGAAAGTATGATTTCAAATGTAAGGAGAAATTTCACACCCATGTAATCAACAAAACAACTCAAAGCTTGATGGTTTCCTCCCAACTAGGATTCTCTTAAACCTTTTATAACCCCGTGAGGGCTCAAGTCCTGAGACATGTCAGCACCTTAGGAAATGTGACATTATTGGAATGATCTTTTACTATTAGTAATAATTGTGGCACGATATTAGATAGATAGACAGAGATTGAGGGGTATTTAGCACTGGAAAGTGTTGGGAGAATAAAGGCAGAAAGGATCCACTAAATACCGAAAGCTCAGATAGGAGTCTGCGAGTTTCAGAGAAACCTGTCACAGAATTCAAGACATTGTCTGGTCTTGTGGTTTTTAATCCACTTGTGACAAATCAAATCAAGGCACACGGAAATATACATGCTCAGCAAGCCTAGGGAGACTCATCCACCAGTCTCAGGAGGAAATAAATATGGGATAAATATTGGCAGCAAACTTTCAATTAGATCAGTTTTCTCTGAGATGAAAGCCAAGATTTCCATTATTTTTATGACAGTCTTTTCTCTGTGTGTTCAGGAACAGTTAAAATCTGGGACTTCGGCAGTGGGCAAGAGATGAAAGTGTTGCCAGAAGGAAAGGATTGGAAGGAGGAGGAGCATTGGCTGCAACGCCTGATTTTCCTGAAAACTCAGGAGAAACACCAGCACTTGGTCCTGGCCCTGGAGCGCAATGGGAAGATCAAAATGCTCCAGGTTTGCAATCCCATTATTTATTTATTTATTTATTTATTTTTGTGAGGAAGATCAGCCCTGAGCTAATAGCCAATGCCAATCCTCCTCTTTTTGCTGAGGAAGACTGGCCCTGGGCTAACATCCATGCCCATCTTCCTCCACTTTATATGGGATGCCGCCGCAGCATGGCCCGACAAGCGGTGCGTAGGTCCGCGCCCGGGATCCGAACCTGCGAACCCCGGGCCAGGGAAGCACAGCAAACTTAACCACTATGCCACCACGCTGGCCCTGCAATCCCATTTTTATATTTGTACTCTACATGCTCCTCTTGGGAAAATCCACTGAGTCAGTGGATAATCCCCATTTAACTCCTCTCCTGCCAGCCAGCTAAGGATAGTCTTTCTCGACCAACCTTCCCAGGGTGCTCCTAATTAACCTTGCCCAGGTGCAAGCAAAGAGCAGAAAAGAATGGCTGCTCAGCCACAGCATCCCGCCCATCTAGCGTTTGCTGGAGGATTAGTCAGGATCTTCTGGAGTAGGTGTTAGAAAGTTTAAATATACGCACAGCTGCCACCTCTGACATAGCTTATACCCTCATCTGGGGATAATTAACTGGCAGAGCTGCTCCCCAGTAGGCTCTGTGAAAGGGAGCAATGATTCCTCTCTGTCCCTTATAACCCACGATGCATTCAGGGACACTCAAGTCACTTTCTCAGTTTGTCATCAAAATTGCTTTGTTTACCTTAAGGTTAATGATGCATCTACTCAGGGCTGTTTTGGGAGGATTGAGGTAGGCTAATTTATTTTTCCTGTGAGTCTATTCCCACCTAAGAATGCTAATGCCTTCCTCATATTTAAAATGAAGGCTAGATCGTTTATCCTGACTATTGAGTGGATCTCTCCCTGCCTAGAACTCAAGGACCCATTGCCTCTACTAATTCTCTTTTGAAAGCTGAGATCAGGAAAAAGGGTCTTGAATTAGGGTAGCAATCACAAAGTACCATCATTGATTAAGATGACTGATGACCCTACTGTTGGAAAAAAGGAGTGAAAACCTTCCCTGAATCAATATGCTCTTCCCTTGTTGTCCAAGGAATCCAAAATGGCACTGTAGAAAGGAATTTCTTAGTAATATACTCTGAAACACAACAAGGCGTTGATTTCGCTTCTTTAAGTTAGTGCAATTGACCATCAAGATGCCCTTCCTAACAGACAGCTCTGTTGTTATAAACACTCCCTTTTTAAGGACTGCAAAAAGCAGCATGGTGCTGTTCCCACATCAAAACTGTTTTTAGTCCTACTGTGGCATTTTTCACTTGGACTATTCTGGTTCTTCTTTTTATAGAATCCATCCATTAAACTTGATGAGGACTGAAATTTCTCTTATTCGCATCTGTATTCTTGCTCTGCCCAGAGTAGGTGCTCATTGAGCATTGAAAGAATAAGGAAATATAAGGAGCCTCCTGTAAGGTGTACAACAGTAAATGTATGGGGTGTTTTAGGGAATTTTTATTTATGTCAGAGGGGTGAGCTTTACAATAAGGATAATGTGGAAAGCACACTTACTTGTTATTTATTATTATTAACATCTTATTATTTACTTATTACTTAATGTTATTATTTGCCTAGTTAAAATAAAATACAGTTTGACTTACATACTTATTTTCTAGAATACTTTCATTCACTCATTTTTTTAATGAGCATTTACCAAATGTTTACCGTGGACCAGAAAGATACCTTCTCTTTCACCATGGGACTCACACTTAATAAGCAGTACTGATACAAGCGTTGTGAGAGCTTACATAAGGTGCTACAGAAACTCATGATGGTGGGTGGGGACCAGCCTAATCGGGGTCAGGGAAGATTTCTCTTTCCACTGATGACCAATTAATTTCAACACAGTTCAAGGAACATTTTGTGTGCTCCACATGTGCTAGGTATTTTTCCAAATCTCAGGATTCAATGAAAAATAAGGTATTCATGAACTAGGTTACTCAGAGCAACCCTTCACTGAAAACAACTAAAAGTTCTGGATAAAATGTTTTCTAGGGGCTGACCCAGTGGTGTAGTGGTTGGGTTCATGTGCTCTGCTTCGGCAGCCTGGGGTTTGCGGGATCTTGGGTGCGGATCTACACGCCGTTTATCAGCCCATGCTGTAGCAGGCATCCCACATATAAAGTAGAGGAAGATGGGCATGGATGTTAGCCCAGGGCCAATCTTCCTCAGCAAAAAGAGGAGGACCAGCAACAGATGTTAGCTCAGGGCTAATCTTCCTCACACATATAAAAAGCTATGTGTGTGTGTATATATATATATTCTAAAATGTAAATATTATATATATAATATATATATAAATTCTAAAAATAAATTCTATGAATTAAAAATATATATATTCTAAATATATAAATATATGTATGTATTCTAATCTCCTAATTTGCCTTAAAGAGTTGACAATATAGTAAGTAAATTGCAGACCAAATTTTAGTGAAAATGAAGTATGAAAGAGGTAAATTGAGAACCAAAACACCACTGCTACTTTCACCCCGATGGCATTTTCCAAGCAAAATGGGTTCAATTTTGGAGACTTGTCAGATGGGAGGAGGCTAAGAAGTCAAGGCCCAGGGCCTGTCTAAGGCAAGGAGTTTAATACCATGTCCACGATGTTCTGGGGCCCAAAGTTTCCACTATCACGGTAAGGGTGAACCAGGAAGAAGGAAGCCAGCCTCCTAGGGGCAATGAAAGAAAGGCTGCCCTCCCACTGAGCAAAGCAAGAAAGAAGAGAGAAGAACAGGAAAACAAAACAAGATGAGACCAAACCCTGCCCCTGAGAAGCTGTGACCACAGGCAGGAGCTCATATGCACTTGCAACCTAGATTGGCAGTGCTCAGGTTGTCAAGGAAATCTCAACTGTGAACTCGGTTTAAGGTGGTCCAAAACTGGAAGTTCCACCAGGCACCTGGCAAAAACAAACACAAATCCATTCCGGAGGAAGGCGCCTTCATCTCAGACCAGACTTGGAGTAATTAAGCTCATAAGGAAACAACACAACCAGGTTTGGGCGTAGAGAGCAATGGAACAAAAACAGGTCCAAACAGAAGTGGCATAGCATATTTGTGTGTCAAGAATATTCTTTCCAATAAATTGGTTTGGAGCAACTAGATATCCATATGGAAAAAAAAAAAAACAAACTCTAACTTTTGGTCTCCCATCGAGGACTGTCTATTCCTTATGGATCAATGACTTCAAGACAATTGAAAGACAAAACAACACAGTTTTTAGTGGTTAATATAGGAGATTGTTTACAAACTCAGGACAAAAAATATCTTAAATAAGACTCAAAAATCACTAATTATGAAGGAAAAGATGGATATATTTGATTACACTAAACTAATAATGAGACAAGAGTAGAGTTAAAGAAGATGTTTGTAACACATAATAACCAACTGGATTAGTATCAAAAGTTCTTAGATAATAAATAAGGTAAACAGTCATAGAAAAATGAAAACAGACAGGCACTTCATAAAACAGAAAACCCAAATGGCCCATAAACATATGAAGAGTTGCTAAACTTCACTAGTAATCAGAGAAATTCAAATTAGAATTACAACAGATACAATACACAAAATAGATTGATTTCAAAAAATAAGTCTGATGATACCAGGTTTTAGCAAGGCTGTGGAACAATAGGCATGTTCATACACTACTAACGTTGGTGCACACTGGTATCAACTCTTGGAAAATATTTTGGCATTCTTGAGTTACAGGACTTCTTATTCAGAAGTCTATATGTTACTTTACTGTCTTGAAGTGACAATGTTGCCAATGAGCGGTTCAAAGCTGGTCTGGTTCTTTTCCCTGTGTAAGTAACCTTTTCTTTCTATCTGCAGACTCATGAGATGTTATCTTTGTCTGAGAAGTTCAAAGGCTATGCCTATGGGTATATCTTTTCTCATCAATTCCACAGGAGACTTTTCAATCTGTAGTCCTAGGTATTTCTTCCAGCTCAGTGCATGTTTTGTATTATTATTTGTTGATCAGGTGTCTCTTCTGCATCTGTTTCTTTTTCTAATTCAGGAACCCATACTATTTGCTTATTGGGTCCTCCGAATCTATCCTCCAAATCTCTTACATTTTCCTTTGTTTTCTAATTCTTTTTAGTTTTGCCCACTGTTTTGAAATATTTTCTCTTCCTCTAGGTAATCAGTTCAAGTCTCAAACAGGAACTGATTCTCCTTCAGCTCGTGAACCAAATTCTTAAATTTAAATGTTGTTCTTGTTGTTGTTTTGTCTCTGTTTTGAACTTCCCTAGGTACTGCTCAGTTTTGCTCAAGTTATTACACTTCCCAGCAGTTCTAGTTAGTTTGGGATCAGTTCTGCATGTTTTGTCAGTTCTCCTGTCTAGATGCTAGGCTGGACCCTGAGCTATATTTCTTTTTCTGCTCACTGGGGTTTGGCTACTAGGAAAATGCAAGAGGTGGCCATCCTAAAAAGATGGGACATATAGCCATGTTTTCCTGAGGGCTGGTGGTTTAGCAGTCCCCTGTGAAGGCACCAGCAGTAAACCTCCCTGCTGCCCATTCTCTCCCCACTCTCCCAATTTCAAAAGTACAGAAGGCTTGGTCCACCTGTTCAGCTACTCCTCTCGGAGGCAAGGAGCACCAGGCACATGTCAAGCCACACACTGCCCCCTCCACCCACCCACCTCTGGGGGTTTAAGCATATTTATAGATGAACCACCACGTGCAAATCTCAACCTAGGACTCTCTCCCACCCTGGTCACCAGGCTTTTGTTCAGCCCAGGGGGTAACAAGCCCCACAATAACTTTCTTTCCCCAAACTCCAAACCCCATTTCTCCACTTGCCACCAGAAATTGTTGGGGGCAGGAAGGTAATTCCTTCCTGGAGTTGGAGCTGGAGTGGAGTGGAGGAAAGATACACCAAACCTCTATCTTCCCGGACTCTGCGTGCAATAAACAAACAAACAAACAAAAAGTGCTTCAGTAATCACATTCAGTTATTCAGGGAACATTGCTAATGCATTACAGCTGAGGCAGAGTCCCCATAAGTTTTTTATTTACTTACTTACTTACTTACTTACTTACTTACTTGTTTTTTGTGAGGAAGATCAGCCCTGAGCTAACATCCATGCCAATCCTCCTCTTTTTGCTGAGGAAGACCAGCCCAGAGTTAACATCTATTGCCAATCCGCCTGCTTTTTTTTCACCAAAGCCCCAGTAGATAGTTGTATGTCATAGTTGCACATCCTTCTAGTTGCTGTATGTGGGACACGGCCTCAGCATGGCCGGACAAGCGGTGCATCCGTGCGCGCCCGGGATCTGAACCTGGGCCGCCAGTAGCGGAGCGCGCGCACTTAACCGCTAAGCCACAGGGGCCGGCCCCCCATAAGTTTTATGTACTTCTTTTTAATGTCTTCAAACCAGTCCTTAATAACTTGAAAAGTAATGTCTCTCTTGCACTTATATTCTTCAGTTTATTTTCTCAAGTCTCAGAAAAATGCTGGTGCAACTGCCTGATCTTTTCGCAAATCATCATTGTACTAGACTTTCTGGGCATGATCTTCCAGCCATGTAAAGGGAGGGCAGATTATAAACTGACTGGCCTGTGAATACAACTTCATAGATGTGAGAGAAGGAAATGATAATGTTTTCATGATCTCGGTTTTAAGGAGATAGAATTGTACTCTGCCTACATAAAACTTTTTATAAATTTGAGATACATTTGCCCCCAAATGGTTGGTAAAAACCATAGGTTGGTAAGAGATCACTGTTCTAACATTATATACAAAACACTGTGGGAGTTCAGAGATTTTGATTAATTAACCCCAAAATAGTTCAAATTCTAATAGGCCCACTCACTTCTCTTTATTTGCTCTTCCTTCTTCCCACATTACTTCATGGGTCTACTCATATAGCCCTGTTTGTGAGTCCCTTAAAGCACAAGATCTTTCTTTACGAAGCAATTAACATAATACATGCTCTTGGCGTTATGAGAACTGCTGTTTTCCTAAAGCACCAATTCCTAAAGGCCTGTCTGCCAATACCACTCTGAGATACAAGGTTTCACGAATCTAGGGGAGGATGACAATCCCTCTACCCTCTAGGTCCTTCTGGCTGGTCTAAGAATTAAATTGACATGAGACAGAATAACAGAAGAAAGTCACACAAAGTTTAACAACATGTGTACGTGGGAGAAACCCAGGAAAACTGAGTAACTCACCAAAATGGTAGAAGCCATCACCTTAAATACCATCTTTAGCTAAAGACAAAGGAAGATGTTGGCCGTAGTGGTTTGGGTCTTCAAAGGGGAGGAAAGCAATTTACATGGAGATGGAAATGCAAGTGTTTGTTAAACATGTGTTTGCTGGGCCATCTATAGACAATGTGACCTGAGAGACAGAACTTTGGTAAAAATGGGCTTGCTGGTGCCTTTCTGTTTATAACACCTATTTTATATTATGTTGTAGTTATCTTAGCTCCTTCCTGGAACAAGCCTTCTATCTCAAATTCTTTTAGACAGTTTGGGGGAAGGTCAAATGTTTCTTTCAGAGTCTTTTGTCCTTGAAAATAATCAAGCCAAAGAGATACATTTTGGGGTGGCCAATTCTAATCCCCCACACCAATTAGGGGTGAAATGAGGAAAATAAGGGTAATTTTTCATAAAGCTAATTTTACTTTTTAAATTTTAATATTGTATCCTTCTTACTTTTTTGATTGAAATATGGCCTTTCTTTTCACAAAATGATAGTAGATTTTCCAGTTTCCTTCTCCTCCATGTCCTCTCTTGGTAAAATTAAATGTTAGCAACTCTAAGTCAATATTCTAAAGTTGTTTTTTAAATTTTACTCTGTGAATTCAACAAGTCTGAGAGCCACTGTCTTAGATGGTTCAATTGAAACCCGCTAAACCTATTCAAACCACTGTAGCCAACTCATACCATCAGGGGGCATATGACTCTAACTAAGCTATTCTCAGTCTATCAATATCTGATCACTGCACATTGCTGAGATTCCTTTTATTTGCACAAGGGTACAAACTCTAAACAAACAGTCAACTAGCAGACAGGAGTACCATTGGTCCATACTTTTAAATTCACACAGGTATTAGATAACAGACACCTTATGTCACCTAGAAGCAGAAGCTTAAAAAAATGGAAGGACTTTTATTCATCAACTAGCTGAAGTCCTCGTTATACAAATAAGGAAAATAAGGCCCAAAAGAAGATTTGTACTTTGCCCAGGCTCTCACTAAACTAAGACTGGAAACCTGTTGTCTTTATGCCAGACCAAAATTCTCTCCACTTTACCATAGCTACTTTCAAGCTAAAAGATCCCTGCTCTGCCAGCAAAATAACCAACCTTAAGAATTTGGCTTTTATTCTCATATAAGAATTCAAAATTCAAAAATTAACAGCAGCTCATCAATAATAACCAATTAGAAAACAGAATAAATGATTACATTACAATAGCAACAAAAATATATGGTACCTAAAATAAATTCAACAAAAAATTGGAAGAGTTTTGTGAAAAAAAATTTTAAAGGGCATAAAAAAACAACCTGAAAATATGGAGAAATATACCATATTCACAGATGGGATATCACAAAGATATCTTTACTACATTAAAATAAAAAATAAACACTTGTCTTAAAAAACAAAGTGAAAAGACAAGTCACAGACTGTGAAAAGACCACTGTACCCCTGGTAACTGAGAAAGGATTAGGAACCAGGATAGCTAAAGAAATCCACAAATCCAGAAGAAAAACTAACAGCCCGAGAGGAAAATGGAGAAAGGACAGGTAAGGAAAGCCAGGTGGCTCACAAACATATGAAAAAATGCTCAACTCACTAAATTAGGAAAATGTGATTAATATAAGTAGTAAATCCTAAAATTAATTTCAAAATGTCCCATTTCAAACCCATCAGATAAGCAAAAAAAAAAAAAACACTTTTTAATCAAGTAAAGCCAAATGTTGATAAGAATGTGAAGAAAAGAGAACTCTTTTGTACTCCTGGTGGGATTGGAAATGGTAACACTGTACTGAAGGTCCATTTGGCAATATCTAGTAAAACTGATAATGTGCTTATCTTACAACTTGGTAATTCAACCCCAGGCGTATGCCCTAGAGACTATGGCACCTGTCCATAAAAACAAGCTGTGGAAAATTGGCAACAACCTGAACATCCGTAAGTAGGAGAATGGATAAATAGATTGTAGTGTATTCATACAATGCTATAAAGCAGTTGAAAATAAATGAACTAGAGCTCCATGTAATAACTTGCATAAATCTCAAAAATATAATATTAAGTGACATAAGCAATTGGAAGAAGAATCCATACAGTTTTATCATATTTATAAAAAGGTTAAAAGCCTGAAGGCAAATCATTATATATATGTACATATACACATGTATGTATGAACATATAAAATATAATATATAACATATGTATATGTGGAATATATGTTTATGTAGAAATATTATAACTTTCATAACTAACACCATATTCAGGTTACTGGTTACCTCTGGAGAGAGAAGGGTGAAGAATTATATTAGGGACAGATAGAGGGGTCTTAAAATTTGATAAAGCTGCGTAGTGGGTACATCACGGTATGTTCTATTTTTCTCTATATATTTAAAACAGCTCAAAATGAAATAATTAATTGAATTTTCCATGTACTCACTGGGTTTCTGTTAAAGGGCAAGGAGGATGATATTTGTCTCACGGTGATATGGGAGCTGCCCGATGCTGTGCCTGTCCTACAGGATGGGAATCGTGTTGTGCATCTGAGGATGTCTACTAAAGATAGGAGAATGGCTATTCCTTTCCCAGATGTCGAGTTGATAGTGGAGAAAAACTTTTCTCAACATGTTAAGGTGATTTTATTTCTTGACTTTTTTCCTTTTTATTATGGAAAATTACAAACATATACAAAAGTGGAGAAAATAAGAAGTTCAACAATAAACTATGTACTATCACTCAGCTTCAAAAATTACCTGTGTGATCAAACTTATTCCCCTTTATTCCTCCACTTCCCCACTACCACCAACAATGGATTATTTTGAAGCACATCCCAGACATCATGTCATTTCATCCCTAAATATTTCAGTATGTAACTCTAAATGATAACGACTCAAAAAAAAAGACACTGATACCATTATTTTCTCAAATATTTTCTAAAATACACTTATAAGTCCTTAATATCATTACATATTCACTCTGTTCAAAGTTCCCAGATTTCCTCAGAATTTTTTTTTTTGCAGTTTTCAACCAGGATCCAAGCAAGGTCCATTTATTGCATTTGATTGATAAGTCTCTTAAATCTCTTTTAATCTATAAATATCTTTCCATCTCTTTTTCCCTCGCAATTTATTTATTGAAGATGGTGGACGGTTGGGTGCCATAGTTTCCCAGTTTCTGGATTTTGCTGACTGTACCCTTGTGATGTAATTTAAGAGGTTCTTCTTTACTTTCTTTAATCTGCTGGTTATATCTGGTGGCTTAGTTGCATGCAGCTTTGATTTCTTTTTTATAAGATTCCATTCTACATGGAGGTCACCATAGTATATGGTGTTGTGTACTTCCAACAAGATTCACACAATGACTGGTTGTCTTTTTTTGGACATCATAGCCATTGAGTGACCTTTGGGGACTGGCTTGTTACACTTAGCGTAATGTCCTCAAGGTTCATTTATGTTGTAGCATACGTCAGGATTTTCTTCTTTTTTAAGGCTGAATAACATTCCATTGTATGTGTGTACCACATGTTGTTTATCTATTCATCCGTTGATGGACGCTTGGGTTGCTTCTAACTTTTGGCTATTGCAGCTACGATTGTGGTTGTACAGACATTTCATCTGTTGTACAGAGCTTTTGAAAGCTCTACAGTATTTCATTTGTATGGACGTATTGTAGATTATTCAATTAGTCCCCTGTGGGTGGACATTTGGGTAGTTTCCAATCTTTTCCAGTTATAAATAGTGCTGTAACAAATAGCCTTATGCATATGACAGTTCAAATTTTTGAATCAATCTTTGGAATCGATTCCTAGAAGAGGGATTTCTGAGTCAAAAAGTAAATGCTAATGTAATCTTCCTAGATATTGCCAAATTCTCCTCCGCAGCAGTCATACAACTTTGCATTCCCACTAGTAACATATGAGACTGCCTACTTCCCCACAGCTTTGCCAACAGTGTATCTTGTCAAAATTTTGGATTTGTTCAAATATGATAGAAGAAAAATTGTAACTTGGTATATTTTATTTTCCATTTCTCTTCTAATGAGTGAGTGGAGAGTCTTTTTATGTACATGGATCATTTGTCTATTATATCTTTCACCCATTATTCTATCCAAGTTCTTTTTTTCCTAATGTTTTAGAAAGCTCATAATATATTAGGAATATACACACGTATATGTGTATCAATAGTTAGGAATATATATTAGGGATATTAATCCTTTGTGATATAAATTCCGTATATTTATTCCCAGTTTCTTATTTGTGTTTTCATTTTGTGTGGTCATTTTTGCTGTGGCAATGCCAACTTCCGGGAAGCTGGTGTAGATGAGGTTTCCATAGTTTATCAGGGACTACGCTTGGAAATAATCACATGTGTTCTTCAGGCTTCACTCAAGGATTCTATTACTACTTCGTCTTCTCAACCACCTAAAAACAGCCAGATGTTTTAACTTCTCCTAAATTTTGATAAGAAGAGTAAGTTTGGGGCCATATCAAGAGGTCACAAAATGATTGTGCACCTTTTCTGGCCAATTATTATTTCACTGTTTTTACATTATACAATTTTAACTGGGTGTTCCAATGTCAGTTAATAAAATTCCAGCTTTCTCCTTTCACAGGTTTCATTTTTTTTAAGTTTCTTATCTTGCTCTGGTGATATCATTTGGTTAATTATTTTGTCGTTGCTGTTTCTATTGTTGTTTTAAAATCTAAATAAGGAAAGTATATCATTAGACTATTTTGTACAGGATATTCTCTGAATTCCAAAATTGTAATAACACTGAAAGGAGCCAATTTTTTTTTTTCCACGATACAGAAAAAGAGAAGTACCTCCTGAAGAGTACTTAACAACAGATCTTCAAAGAATTATAAAATCCCTTCTCTTGGATCCGTGGCCTTTGTCCATGGGTGGACTTCTGGGGTCTAAAAAGCCTCTGAAATTATATACAAAACTTCTTTTTTGAGCAGTGCAGGGTCCATAGCTTTTTCTTTTCCAACATTTTATTATGGAAATTTTCAAACATATAGAGCGCTTGACAGTATTATACAGTGAACACCCATATATCCCTCCACTTAAATTTTACTCTTAACATTTTGCAGTATTTGCTTTATCATGTACCTATTCATCTATCCATCCTCTACCCACCCTTCAATCTGTCTTATTTTTTAAATGTATTTCAAAGTACATTGAAGATATCAATACCTATCACCCCTAAACACTTCAGTGTATGCATCTTTAACTAGAGTTCACTGTTTGTTTCTGGTGTCATTTTTTAGTGAAATCTACATGCAATAAAATGCATAAAATTTAAGTGTGCTATTCAATACATTTGGACAGGAACATACACCATCCAAACCCCTAACAAGATTAAGAACATTACCATCACCCCAGAAAGTTCCTCCATGCCCCTGCCTAGTCAATACTTGCCGCTTACCCAAAGGCAACCACTGTTCTAATTTTTTTTTACCGTAGATTTGTTTTTCCCTGTTCTAGAATGTCATGTAAGTGGAATTATATATATATATACTTAAAGTTTCTTTAGTTTAGTATAATGCTTTTAGATTTGTCCATGTCACTGCATATATCAGTAGCTCATTTCTTTATGCCTGAGTAATACTCTACTATGGCTTTTTTTTTTTTTTTTAAGATTCTTAAAGGCATTTGTGACCAAGACAAGGTTAATAACTACTGACTGAAGGACAGAGAAATGAGGAAGATGTCCTCTTATAAAAATTTAGACCAATTGTTTTTTTTTAATGACACTTCGTCAAACTTATTTGCTTACTCTAATCCTGGCTCAAACTATTAATGCTTTTCAGCTCTTACGGGGATAAGTGGTCAGACACTAAAGAATGCAAGAAAACTGCAAGTTGTGGAGGGAGCAATTGAAGAAGGCCCTAATTTGTTTACTCCTCTCATTAATGAAACAACCATAATTTAATTTGAGAGAGAATAATACAGCTTGTCTTATAATACAGAGGCATATTCTATTATTTTTCCTGAAATTGAAATAAATGTCACTTTAGCACTGCAATTCAGATTTCATTCATTGCTAGTTTAAATCATAAGTAGGTTTTATTGTTTCCTAAAAGGATTTTTGAAATCAAGATATAGAGTAACTATGTCATGATAACACTATCACAAAAGATAGAAGAATAAAATGTATCTCCTCACAGAGTAATTCTAGCCCACTTCCTCCAACTCTACACGCCATTGGAAACAGTTGTAGGTTCAATCTTATGTTCCTTGTTTGGAGCCAATAAAAACAGAAAGAGGATGAATGCAGAGTGAGTCAGAACTGATGCAGTTGGCAAGTTATCACATGGGTAACGAAAGGTGATTGTTGTGAAAAAATAGAAAAACTGTTGCAATAAATTATTGAATAAATTATTGAAGTACAATGGAAGTGCCTTCTGGGATTTAAATGCAAATGTAAATTATTTCTGACTTTGAACTCCTATTATTTGTATTTATCCTAATTAACAATTATGGCACTTCCTTCTTTCAACATACTTTAAATATTTTTATAGATAGAAAGTTTGTAAAAGTCGCTTAGGAAAAATAATTGGATTGTGCATGGAAATTCTCTTTCCCTAAAACTCTTTCGTTTATGAAGCTCTTTTTATTGAACACCTACTATGTATCATACACTGTTCTTAGCACTGGGAATGCAAAGATGAATGAGGGACAGTACCTGCACTCCTGTACTATAGGAGTACAGCAGAGAACTTGGCAGGTTGGGCTGGGGGGCAGTGGGGTGGTGGAGAAGAGGAGGTTCCGGAAGAAGATAATTGCTGAATTAGGTCTTAAAGAATTTTCAAGAGTCAGCTTGGCCCAGATAAGGAGTTTCTAGGAGGAGATGCGAAGACAAAATGAATCCCAAGAGGAGAAGATGGGAAAAAATCATGGAGGTGAGAAATTGCATGGTGTGCGAGGGATAAATACAAGTATCTCAGGGTGGCTGAAGGAAGACAGAGAGTGGTAGAAAATGGAGATGGACAGATAGGTAGGGGCTGGATCATGCTCACAGTGTTAAGGAGCTTGAATATCCTATAAGAAATGGAAAACTATTGAACGGCTTTAAATGAGAAATGACATGATCAGATGTGTGTTGTTGGTAGCATCTTTGATGCTGTATTGATGACAGATTCAAATGGGACAAGACTAAAGGCAAAAGATTCAGGCAATAGGCTACTGTTTTAGTTGAAAGATAAGGCCATGATAGTGGGGATGGTAAGGAAGGAGAGGTTTCCAAAAATATTTAGCTGATGAAAATAGCAGAACTTGTGATTGATTAATTAGTGATTGATGTCGTGTAGTTGAGGGACAGGAGGGTACTGAGAGAAGGGAAGGAATCAAGGACAGCTCCAAGACTTCTAACCTAACAAGGGCATGGCATTTGCAATTCTGATTGAATGATGGATGGGGATGTGATGCTACCCAATGAGATACAGAATAAAGGAACGTGCTTAAAGGAGGTGCTGAGTTAGACATATTAACTTTGAGATATCTGTAAAATTTCTAAGAAGTAATTAAATAATTACTGGGAGGGGACTGGACTAGATTATTAGGTCATTAACACTGGGATGAATATTAAAACATAAGGGGATGCGATTACCCAGAAAGTGTTGGAAAAAAGAAAAAGTAAACCCCAAGGATATTAATATTAAAAAGTTTGGTAGAGTAAGAGGGTATCAAGTAGGAAACAGAAAAGGAAGAATCGTATAGACACAAACAAAACCAGGAGAGCCTGTTGTCCACGATATCAAGGGAATAAGGAGTTTCAGGAAGGGGAGAGCAATTGAGAGTGACAAGGACAACAGACCTCTAATCTTATTTAGATGTCACTCTTCTATGTTTCTATAAAGTCTTGTGCCTGCCTCCAATATATCGCTTTCAAATTGTACAGTAGTCAACACTTTATCTTAATACTTTAATTATATTACAAGTTTCTCCAGGTCACAGACTTTCTATTTGACTTTGTATTCCAAGAACCTCACATAGTAGGTGCCCAACAAATACTTGAGGCAAGACAATTGAAAAGTATCAAGTAGTACTGACAATAGAAGTGCTTAGTGATAATCAGGAAAAGTTTTCATAGAGCAGTATGGAGCAGAAGCCAAACAATGAGAAAAAGGAAAGTCGGTAAGGAGAAACAGCTAATGTAGAATATTCAAGAAGTTTGAAGGGAAGAGAAAGATGGGAAGGTAATCTAATGGTTGGTAGCTCTGGGAAGAATAAGCCAAGGCTAAGAGGAAAGAGTCAGTAGAGAGGGAGAGTATATTTTTGCTGTTTTAATGAATTCTACAAAGTAAAAATTTTTTAATGCCAAAAAGAAGAAATAGATTTTACTAAATTGCATACTCTAGGATTTAAAAAATATATAATAAGATGCTTTGTTTTAAGGTGATGGCAGAATAACAAAGTGTACACAGCATTTGTGCTGTGGTTAGATACCATGTTCATGATGGTTGGTGAGTCTGTTTCCTTCTTTCTTCAGAATCCTGCCATCAGTGTACAAGTGAACTGCATTGATTTATTACAAATAGAAGGATATAATTTGATAGCCGCTGGAACCTTAAATGGTGTGATCATCTTATGGAATTTTGTAACATCTACTGTCGAAGAAATGTAAGTTGCATCTTTTCCTTAAACAATATAAAACTTGCACTGCAGAAGAGCCAAAGCAACATTCAATGCTAAAAAAAAAAAAAAAAGCAATAAATGAAAATGGTGACAGTTCTCTTCACTTTTCCTGGAGGTTATGTTCACGAGGAGACTGTGTTCTAAGTGTCTAAATCCCAGAATGATATGAATAAGGTAGACCTGCTGTATTTGTATTCCCAAGTGCTTTCAGCTTACTCTTCTCACTCTAGCACACGCTTTCTATATGTGATCTTGTCCAAATTCGTAATCTCAGCAAGTACTTTAAATACATAATAATTTCAAGCACTAATCTCCCTTCAAACACACATATCCAACTGCCTACTGGCAATTACCATCTGGATTGCCATCAAGACCCTTAAAGGTCCACATGCCCCAAACTTCCTCCCAACCTACCCCTCCCCAAAACATCTCCTCTTCCTATACGCCCAGTGACACCACCATCTACTCAGTCACCAAAATCAAATGGTGAGAGGCATTCTGGATGGGTTTTCCTTTTCATTCACCACCCCAACACATCCAGTTCATTATAGGTCAGTGCCAACAAAGGCATGGCGTATGCAATTCTATATCTCCACCAACTAGATTTGCTCTGTACCATGGCCCAAAACTTTACCCTCCCCCTGCCATCCATTTTTAAATGTTCTTGCCATTAGTTCTAAAGGAAACAATGTAACCTGGTATTATTTGCTATAGATGCATTGTAAATAATAAACTCTCCCCAGTTGTGTAATTGGGCTATAAGCAAGGGCCACGTGTAAGCACCCTATGTCAAGGGAGTTTATGAAATTTTACTTTGAGGTACAAGATGGCCAAGAACCTTAACAATGAATGAAAATAAAATCAAGTGTATCTAAGCATTTGGGGGAAGGGAAAAGATACAAGAGAGGTGAGGAGAGAGTTGAAGAGGACAATGGAAAAGAGGAAAATGTGAAAGAAAACTCTCCCTGTCTAGTTACAGTACCTTACATACTATTGGTCTACCTGGACTCCATGCCCCGTTCCAGTCTAACCCTGAGTCTTTACTTTTAACCAACTTTTGAGGGGAAATGTTCCTTTCTTCTTTGGACCCTGGATTTATTCTCCTTTGCACCTTTAGTTGAGATAGCTGTTTCTGCAAACTCCTCCCTCAGTACCTCAGCCCACCTTCTCCTGGGACCTGCCCCTAGAACTCCTGTCATCCTCTGTTCCTTCTCTTCAACCCTTGCCCTTAGGCTTTTCTCACAGACTGTACACTTGTCATTTGATATCTTTATCAATATGCACTGCAATTTGTACAGTTTCTCACTCTCTTATTAATGCAGTTCTCACACTGTGAGTGTCAGCTGGTGCATGACTCACTACTAAGGGAAAGCAGATGGACTAAAAAGGCAAAGACCATAGTCCTGGTGCTATAGCCTAGAGAGGGGGCAGCTCCTCTGAGAATATTCCCAACTTACAGGTGGAGAGCCTCCTTGTTGAAGTGCTAGGCATTCTGCCAAGGATTGCATGCAGATCTAACACCCAATGGGAGAAAAATAACTGACTATAGTGGGTCATCCATAGTGTCCCCTTCCTATAAGATTATATAAAAAACAATTGATTTAGAATCACTGGACTATTTTGCAAAACCTAATTTAGCACAGAACTGTCTAAGGTAGCTTAGGCTCAGCTTTAAAGGCTCTGAAGGTGAAGATGGTTTCCATATTCATGGTGGAAGCCATCTCTTCCTCTGATTCAGACTCTGCCTGAGAGCCCTTCACCAGTCAGGAGAAATAGCCCTTCTCTTCCTGTTCAAAGTCCCATGCTCTTCTGGGCCCAAACTAGAAACTGTTCTTTCTAATTAATAACCCACTTCACAATTCAGCTTATCTGCAGGGCAGAAATATCTAAAAAGATTGAGCTCAACAAGTCACAAGCCCACAGGCTCCTCTTTTGAGCTTGGTTCACGTCCCAGGAGGTTCCTTCATCACACATCAGTCCAAATTAGCAGAGGCGATTTCCACCAACGGAAAAGGAAAATTTTGCTACAAGGTCTATTTGCTATGAGGAGTGTTAGGTGGGGCTTTAAGAGCCAAGCATCAAGTGCCAATGCAGGCAGTTGGGGACTATTGCTCTGCTCCCAGGAAACTGGCTAGGAAGGTGTATGGTTCTTAGGAATCCAGGTCAGCGGGAGACTTGAGCAGCAAGAGTAGTGTAATCACTGAATTACCTGCTTGTCTTCTCCACTCAGGTATAAGTTCCTTGAGGACAGTAACTAGAGTTTATTCAAATTTGTTACTCCAATTATTCAAGGAGAATTCTTTAAACTGTGTGAAACTTCCAGGAGTTTATACGAGCCCACTCTCTGACCTGTAGGTAGGAAGACTAGACCAGCAAATTGAATTAAAAGATTTTTAACACTAAATGATCAGGCTGTTATATAGAGCCATATTAAGGAAGATATGTTCAAACTCTATGCCTCTGGGTTTTCTCTTTGTGTTCAACGATATCAACATTTCAGGAGTTGGTTAGCTCTGCATGGGATATATGACATAAGTAATGTAAGCTACCTAATTTGTAAATGTTCATCATGTAAATGTATGCTTATTTCCAGGTACAGACCCGAAGATTGTCTCGCTGTGGGTCCTGATTTGGATCCCGAACGCTTTAGAATTAATGACATACTGTTTCTCTTTCGTACCCCTGAATGTGCAAGGTAACTCAGTACTTAGAGATCGAGAAATACCGTCTGAGACCTATGTGGGTGATGTATAAAGAGTTCTCATCCCAGCATTAAACAAGGTACAATTGAGAGAAGACATAAGTTGGGCTGATTACTTGGCCTCAGCTCTCTTCCCTGTTACTGTCTTTTGCAGGTGGGTGGTCCCCAGGGATCTAATCTGCTCTTGGGGGATCTAATTCCCTTACCATGTCAGCCTCACAACTCCCTTCACAACAGTAGCAGAGATGGAAGATGCTCGCTTGACCACACTTGTAGCCAACATCTAACTCTATGAGCACTGAGGTGAAGCAGAAGGAAGGACTTGCAGGGCAAATATGAAAGATCGCAAGGCAGTAGGTTTCAAATGATATTCGGTACAACTGAGCACTCTTCATCCATTTCTGAGAGAGTAGGGGATTGTTTTTTAAATATTTAAGAAAAGGTATTTTTTCTATTTATATTTGCTTGAGAGCTCCGATTTTCAGGCAATTGTCAATGGTAAGTACATCCCTGGAGAGACATCAAAAGTTCCTGTGCTGGTTTTGGGTCACTCAGTGGTGAGCCGAGGTATAACCCCTTTCCTACCCCTTGACTTGAAATTCCCTTAACTGAGAATATTTTGAGGTCTTGTTCTGTATACGCCTGTACCAGCACCCTACGTCACTTTTCAATCCTTCCAGCAGAGCATCACAGAGACAGGACCAGGCCAGACCTGGAAACTGAAAAGCAGAAGTTAGCCAGGCTTGTCAGGCGCCCACCGCCACCCCCACTCCCCGCCATTTCAGTGTCAGAGCCTCTGGGACTAAATCCAGCCCTAGCAGTGAAACAGGGCAGATCTTTTATTTCCCAGACCCAGGCAGAAATAAATCTTAATTCCTGGGGCTCCCCAACAGTCTCCACCAACACCAGACAGATGAACACATGTTACACAAGATGTAAGGTGTGATTTGTTTTGTGAGTGGCTCAGGATCCACCGACGAGGAAAGAAGTAGTCAACTAAAATTAAAGCAGAGAAGAGCACCCTTTGAGTGTGATAGAACTTCTTAACTTTTCCTCCCTGGGCTTTCTCCCTCTCTTTGTAGGAGGTCAAGTCAGGATTCCATATGCTCTTCATCCCAATGTGATTCTAGTCGGGGTCCACAGAGCAGCAAGGTAAGCAAGGAACGGGGAAAGGATGTCTTCCTGTTACCCAATGTTGGTTCACAAATAGCCATATGTCCCATTAGAGCCCCTCCTTTGATAGAAGGTGAAGGTGGAAAGATCCTCTGGCCATACGTAAAAACTTTTTTGTTTTCCCTAAAAAGCGATGTCTAAACTGTTTTCACCGTTTCTTCCTATTTTCTCGAAGCTTTCATGTCTGCAAATAATCAATACATAATCATGAATAAAACAAATTGCATCTGCTACGTTTACGTTCATAAGATAAAGTAATTTTAGACCGTATTTTTTTGCTAAAAAATATTACACAATTTCACAGGGGGAAGAGACAGCATGTAATTACATCACAACACATAAGTTAATACGGTGGTTTTCAAACTGTTCTCAGTTCCAATTTTATATATTTTTTTACACATTGCATTTCTAGTTAGGATTTCGTTTGAAGGGAAGTTTTCACTGTTAAAATTGTTTTAAAACCACTAGCGTGGGGGAAAGAATGAACTTATAAGGACATAAAAGTCAGACTTCTATTTGACTCCAAGTTCTCCATTTATTATCTGACAATTAGCTTTAGAGATGTCACTTAATCTCTGAGTTTCTGTTTCTTCATCAGTAAAGAGGGAATAAAAAAGCCTAACTTGCATGATTGTTAATAGAATTAGAGGTATATACACTAAGAACATGGCATGCATTTGGCATTTAATTTCTCTCGTTATTATGCTATATCTGAGCCATTAGGAAAATATTGTGTTACAGATTCTCTATTTATGAACATGCAAATCTCTGCAATACACTTTTTCAAAGAACTAATTCAAAAATAACTTTAAAACTAATGCTTAGAAATGTAAATTTGACTCTCTGAAGAATCTACTCATCCAGCATATCTCATTTTCTTAAAATGTCATAGAAATACTCTCTCTTTTTCTCCCCTAATTCAGGGAAGCAAACAGAGCATCCATGAGAGTGAGGTCAAAGGTCAGTATGGATCACCTCTCTTCCTTATAACCAAACAATCCCTTTGCAACAGGGAGTTCAGGTGATAGAATACTCATAAGGAATAAATCTTCTTTTTGTGACTCAGTGCTGAGGTGCTATAGGACTCGGTAGTCTGAGAGGCAGAATTTCCATGACGATGATGCCTTTTTAACTACTAATTCTAGATTTTAAAAATCCAAGATATTACTCAGCTTCTTAGTCTCCAGCCCATTTTCCTAAAACTTAGTCTAGATTCATAAGCCGTTCTGTATGGGTAAGACTTATACTGGATGTATATCTGGTTCTAGCTGGTACATACAGTGCAGAAGCTTCTTCAATAGGACGAAAAATAAGCTCTTTAGGATTTTCCAGTGATCCAGGATTCCATTTGCTAATGCTTTTTTGCCCTCTCCCCTGATTGAAGTTCTCTAGAGCCAAAAAAATATTCTAGAGAAAAGAATGTGTTGTTTTTGCTATTTTCCTACCTGCCTCCTCCATTTATGTTCTATAAAAATTGGAATTCCAAGTATTGCAAGTACTACGGTAGCTCATTAATTTCCCAATAGGTGAGCAAATAGACGTCACAGCAGGAAAGCAACAGCCAGTGGACACAAAGCATCCTGGGGCCACCAATCTAACAGACACTCCACCACCTATTCTCGTCACTGCACACGAGGATGGACACCTCCGCTTGTGGACGATGGAGGTGATGGGGCCCCTTATTTACCTGGACTAGCAAAGAATGGGAAAGATAAAAAGGATTATTGAATGAACCTTAGCCTTCTATAGGCTGATCCCATAGATCAACCAGTTCTAGTATGTTCCAACCTTCTAGCTAAATTGCTAGTTTTGCAGCCTGCTCACTGAAACCGCTACTCAAACTTCACAATAGGCCAGTTTTGTATCTCGAGGTCAAATCATCAAAACTGCTAAGTTAACTACTTCAAATCTTTTCTTTAAATTGAGCTATGAGTACACTCCACTGAATATTTCATTGGATATTTAAATAATATTAGAGAATATTAATGATGCATTATAGTGAAAGAGTATAAGAACACTGAAAAGTTGAGTATACATAGATCTTTAGTTATCCAAACTATTGGAAGAAGTTGTTTTATTGTATTGAGTGTCCTTAAACATTTTAGAATGAAAAAATAACTCTCATTTACTGAAAGGTTTTAAATGATTTGGAGTGGAGGGTGGGTAGGGTTGAAGTGGGAGGACAGAAGATGATGGAAGAAAAGATTTTGAGTAGACTGGTGATGTTGACAATGAAATCCTTAGAGAGCCAAGGGGTGTGGCCCCACTTATGAGGCTCTTTTCTGGAGAGAAACCCAGAAAACAGCCCTGGTTTCACATGGCAGGCAGATAGTAGGATCCAACCACACAGATCAGCATGGTTGTGTCGGTATAAAACCTCCACGTCTATCAGTAGATCCTAGCTTATTTGTGGGAAACTCTTGGTTTGAAAATACAAAGTATTGCAACAATAACTTTCCCTAAGATGATCCTGGTGTGGGAACAATATCTTTTTTTTTCCTGATAGAGGAATAAAAGAGAGAGAAATAGGAGGAAAAAGATTACAGCCAAGTAATTCTCAGGAAATGAGTAGCAGATTCAAATTCTTTCTTCTCAAGCTTGGATGTTTATTCTCTAAGCGAGGCCATGTGTGTGGAAGGCCTTCCCGGGGCTGACTTATACCAAGCACTGAAAAGCAATCCACCTAATGTGAATCTCTTAGAATCTATCTTGCAGCAATATTCAAAAATAGATATTTCTGAAAAGGCAAATACAATATTCCTGTTTAAAACAAGTGAGATACACTTAAACCTGAAAAGAGTGTTTGTTTAAAAGGAGAGTATGTACCAGGAAAAGAGGTCTGGGGAATTGCATGAAAAGGATCATGAGAATTACAAGAAACACCCGCCAAGTAGAGAGATGATCTGTAATAATCAGAGTCGAGATGCTTGTCATTAATAGTTGTCTACATTTTTATTAATATTTAATTTCAAGAAAATAAGCCCCTATGGATAGTCTCAATTATTGTTATTACGAAAAGAATCATGTTTCAGTGGTAGAGATAATTCTTTAGATGGATTATTTATAGAGAAACTCAACTCCAATGTTAATATTTTATAGAAGTTATGGTCATATTTTATTCAGGGAAAACTGCTGAAAGATATGTTACCTTTCACAAAGCATTCTGCCATTTCTCTGACATCGCTGTGTACGGACTCGTGTACCACGAGACTACTGACTGGGAATGTGGGTAAGTCACTCCTCCTGTGTAGTCGGCCTCAGGCATCTTAACAACCTACAGGATATAGAAATGGATACAGGAAAATGTGTGACATTTATTGACACGAAAGGAAGAGGCATGCGCAAGCATGAGAGACAGAGTGTTGTGGATAGCTTGCTGAATGACTAGAAGTGTGAACGAATGTCGGGAGAACCCATTTTGTTCCTAGCTCTGTACTTAGAGCAAAACATTGTATTTTTTTCTTTTTTAAATTGAGTATGACTACCAATTCCTTTACCTTACACATTGGGAAGAATGTAAAGTTTTCATTTTTAATCTTGAAAGGGTTATGTTGCATTAATCTTCCTTATTAAAGGGAGTAGAGGCATGAATTAGAGAGGAGAGGGATATTTGTTTTCAATAGGGGACTTTATTTTATATTTGTTGTTACAACTGATATAGTTCTTAATTCTTTCATGTAATGCTATTCTTTTTTTAATGCTTCCTATTTCCTTTCTTCTGTCTTTTGAGTTAATCCTAAATTTCCTTTCTTTTCATCTCTCCCATACTTTCAAATATTATGTGTATGTGTAAATGCATATGCATGTGTAAACATAGTTTTTAAATTTACTAGTGTTTACCTTTAAATTTTTCCAAAAAATTTAACGGATTGGTTAGAATTTAGACTGAGACAGCATCTTTTCAGTTAAACGGAAAGCTTAGCCCACTTTACCTGTCTCTTTTTCCACACCCACCTCTTCACTTATCATTTGCTAATGTAAATCTTCAGATTTTCATACAGATACCGCTGTTACATTAATATTTAAATGTTACATCTTCTCTTTTAAGAACATTTTTCTCATTTCAAAAATTATTTTACAAAAGTCACAACAAACCATTTGTATCATCAATTATCTGAGTCTTCTGGAGATTACAGGAAATAATTCTTTATATCTGAAATCAGTATAGTATTATCAGGAGATTTCTAACATTTACTTAAAGTTATCTGTATTTTATCTGGTTTTATTGCTCACCCTCAGTCCTATTGTACTCTAATATTCTTTTTTTTTTTTTTTTTGTGAGGAAGACCAGCCCTGAGCTAACATCTGAGGCCAATCCTCCTCTTTTTTGCTGAGGAAGACTGGCCCTGGGCTAACATCCGTGCCCATCTTCCTCTACTTTATGTGGGACGCCACCACAGCATGGCTTAACAAGCCAAGCGGTCTGTTGGTGCGTGCCTGGGATCCTAACCGGCGAACCGTGGGCCGCCGCAGCGGAGCGCACGCACTTAACTGCTTGGGCCACCGGGCCGGCCCCTATACTCTAATATTCTTATTCTTAACTTCTTACTTTTATTTATCTGACAATCTCCATAGTTTCTATAAACATTGTTTCTGTTTACAGCGGAATAGTAGAGAAATCTAAGATCAGGCAAATTTCGTTCCTTTTTGAAAACAGTCTGCATATTTTTGCACTAACTTTACCTACTATGTGGTAAGCCTTTTCTAACAACACACATAAAACTAAAATTTGAAACTATCGACAGAATTCTCAGAATGCACTTCTGTTTGGGTTCTTTCTTTCTTTGCCTCTGCGCAGAACACTTTCATATAACCCATTTACTTCTTGAGATTTGTAGTTTTTTGCTGCGATCTAGAAAAACAGAGTGGGGATGGGTTTGGGATCCAATCCAGCTTCATCTATATTATAATTAAAGGAGACTTCCCCTAGATTTTAATGATTTCTTTCATGGATTGTGCATTTGGTGTTATATCCAAAAAAGTCATCACCAAACCCAAGGGCATCTAGATTTTCTTCTAGGAGTTTTATGATTTTGTGTGGTACACTTACAGTTGTTTTGTTTTCTGAAAGGTATAAGGTCTGTGTCTAGATTGAGAGTTTTTATCATAAATGGGTGCTGGATTTTGTCAACTGCTTTTTTTGTGTATATTGATGTGTCTTTGTGATTTTTCTTCCTTAGCCTATTGATATGATGGGTTACATTAATTGACTTTCAAATGTTGAACCAGTCTTGCATACCTGGGATAGATCCCATTTGGTCATGATGTATAACTCTTTTTATACCCTCGAATTTAATTTGCTAATATTTTGTTGAGGATTTTTGCATCTATGTTCATAAGAGATATTTGTCTGTAGTTTTCTTGTAATGTCTTTGTCTGGTTTTGGTATTAGGGCAATGCTGGCCTTATAGAATGAGTTATGAAGTAGTCCTTCTGCTTCTATCTTCTGGAAGAGATTGTAGAGAATTGGTATAATTTCTTCCCTAAATATGTAGTAGAATTCACCATTAAATGCATCTTGACCTGGTACTCTCTGTTTGGGAAGATTATTAATTACCGATTTAATTTCTTTAATAATATAGACCTATTCAGATTGTCTATTTCTTCTTGTGTGAGTTTTGGCAGGTTGTATCTTTCAAGGAATTGGTCCATTTCATCCAGGTTATTAAATTTGTGGGCATAGATGTCATAGTTTTCCTTTATTATCCTTTTAATGCCCATGAGCTCTTTTTTTCTTAGTTAGCCTGGCTAGAAGTTTATCAATTTTATTGATCTTTTTAAAGAACCAACTTTTGGTTTCATTGATTTTCTCTATTGATTTCCTATTTTTAGTTCCATTGATTTCTCCTCTAAATTTTATTATTTCTCTTCTTTTTACTTTGGATTTAACTTGCTCTTCTTTATCTAGTTCTAAGGTAGAAGCTTAGAGTATTGATTTTAAATGTTTCTTTTTTTAAAATATATGCATATAAATTTCCCTGTGAGCACTGCTTTCACTGTTTCCTACAAATTTTGATGTATTTTAATTTTCATTTAGTTCAAAATATTTTAAAATGTCTCTTATTTATTCTTTGACCTATTATTTAGAAGTACTTTGTTTAGTCTCCAATTATTTTGGAGTTTTCCACCTATCTTTTTGTTACTGATTTCTAATTTAATTTCATTGTTGATCTATATTCTTTTAAATTGGTTCAGGTGTGATTTATGGCCTGGAATGTGGTCTGTCTTGATGAATGCTCCCCAAGAGCTTGAGAAGAATGTATATTCTGCTGTTGTTGGTTGCAGGAGTCTATAGATATCAATTATATCTAGTTGATTGATGGTGTTGTTGAGTTCAGCTATGTTCTTTCTGATTTTCTGCCTACTGGATCTATCCATTTCTGATAGAGTGATGTTGAAGTCTCCAACTATAAAAGTGGATTCATCTATTTCTCTTTGCAGTTCTATTAGTTTTTGCCCCATATATTTTGATTCTCTGATGTTAGGCACATACATGTTAAAGACTGCCATGTCTTCTTGGAGAACTGACCCCTTTATCATTATGTAATGCCCCTCTTTATCCTTGATAAGTTTCCTTGCTCTGAAGTCTTCTCTGTTTGAAATAACATAGTTACTCCTGCTTTCTTTCCATTAGTGTTAGCATGGCAAATCTTTCTGTATCCTTTTACTTTTCATCTATATGTGTCTTTATATGCAAAGTGGATTTTCTGTAGACAACATATAGTTAGATGTTCTTTTTAATCCATTCTGACAATCTCCGTCTTTTAATTGGTTTGTTTAGACTTTTGACATCTAAAGTGATTATTGATATAGTTGAACTAATATCTACCATATTTCTTACTGTTTTCTATTTGTTGCCCTTGTTTTTTGTTCCTATTTGTCTTCCACTCTTTTTTTGCCTTTTATGGTTTTAAGCGAGTACTTTATATTACACCATTTTCTCTTCTTTCTTAGCATATCAATTGTACATCTTTTTTTTTTTTTTACTTTTTTTAGTGGTTAGCCCAGAGTTTACAATATATCTTTACAATTAATCTGTCGTCCACTTTCAAATAATACTATATCACCTCACAGGTAGTGCAAGTACCTTATAATAACAAAGTATTCCTAATTCTTTTCTCCCAACCCTTCTGTCACTGCTAGTCATTCATTTCGAGTATTCATAAGTTATAATTATCAAATTCATTAGCTCTATTATTATTTGGAATAAACTGTTATCCTTTAGTTTTTATCTTTACTTACTCCTTCTCTTACGCTCTTCCTTTCTTTATACATCATTTTCCTTCTCTCTTAAGAACTTCTTTTAACATTTCTTGCAAGGCAGGTGTGCTAGCAACAGATTCTCTCAATTTTTGTTTGTCTGAGAAAGTCTTTATTTCACCTTCACTTTTGAAGAATAATTTCTCATGATACAGAATTCTAGGTTGGTGGTTTTTCTCTCAACAATTTAAATATTTGACTCCACTCTCTTCTTGCTTGCATGGTTTCTGAGAAGTCAGATACCATTCTTATCTTTGCTCCTCTATAGGTAAGCTTTTTTCCTCTGGTTTCTTTCAAGACGTTTTCTTTAGCTCTGATTTTCCACAGTTTGAATATGCCTAGGTGTAGTCATTGTTGCTTTTTTAAATCTAGTTTTTGTAACTATCATTTGGATTGTAGGATGATTATCTCCATAACAGTTTGGACTCCATTTAGTAGCAGTGTATTCACTTCAGTTTCAGCTACTTTGATGTCTAGAAGAACTTTGACTATGAATGTATAAGGCAACCTTATTATGACTTTATTAAGCCAGAAACAAAAAAGAATTGCCACATATACACATTGATATGCAATTTCTTCCTTTATTTCTAGTTTCTTAGATTGTATTTTATTTACCATTATAAATGCCTAAATCAAAATAACGTGGTATTCTGCATAGTATTCACTTAGACAACAGGATATCTAATTAAAGATTACAATGTCTACATTTTATACAGAAGGACATGTTATCCTTTGCAGTATCAGTTCCTTCCTGGACCCACCTCATGATGAAAAGGTAAGAACTTTAGTTTTAGTTTAATTCATGAATCAGCACATAATTGATTGAGCATTTCTCTGTGCTGGACATCACAAAAGATATAAATACAAGACAAGACTCGCTACCCTCAAGTCATACATAATACCATTGAAACTTAAGCTATATGACAAAAAACAATGGTCTACTGTGAAATGAGGGGATGAATGAGAGTGAGTGAGCCAGCCACTGGTCACTTTGCATCTTCTTCATGTTTTGACTATTTGTGAAAATTGTCATAGGATCCTGGAGCTTAAAAGAGCTCATACATCATCTAGTCCTCCACGGTCAGCTTCTATATCTTATACATCTTCATAGAAGGAGATTCCATAACCTTTCCTTGAAAGCCAAATCTAGTGCCCAGCCATTGTTATTTTCTTTCTTTCTTTCTTTTTTTTTTTTTTTGAGGAAGATTGGCCCTGAGCTAACATCTGCCAATCCTCTTTTCGCTGAGGAAGACTAGCCCTGGGCTAACATCCATGCCCATCTTCCTCGACTTTATATGGGACGCCGCCACAGCATGGCTTGACAAGCGATGCATCAATGCGCGCCTAGGATCCGCACCGGCGAACCCCTGGCCGCCGCAGCAGAGCGCGCACACTTAACTGCTTGTGCCACCGGACCGGCCCCAAGCGATTGTTATTTTCAAGAAACTCTTCCTCGCATCTAGTCTAAATCCTCCTTATAATCCACACATATATTATTCTATTTTTAGTGTTAATGCAATGTAAATGTCACCATCCTTATTTTATAACTTCTTATTTGCATGTGGATATACAGATATATCTAAATATATTATAAAGACTCAACACTAATTAAAGAGCACAACAAGGACGTGCTATTTTAGCATAGGCTTATTTCTCTTTAAGTTAATATTTCAAATCCAAAAGCTAAATATTGGCTCAAATAGTAATGTTTTATTTTTGGATTATAGGTATTAACATATGGATGCATAGATTAGGATTGTATTCCTTGTAGAGTGTTTTAAAATGGTTGTTGTTTCAAATATTATTTCATTTGATCCTTGTTTTTTTTTTCTTTTTTTTTAAAAAAGTTTTCTTTTTGTTTCAAAGAACCCATTATAGTTTTTATAAAGTTCAAATATTTAGCTTTAGTATGATTATCTTCACTTTGCAGAGGGGAACTCAGAGAGTGGCTTGCCCAGGATCACGTAGACAGTTAATGATGAAGTCAGGGCCAGAACCAGGGTTCTTTCCCTCTACTCCAATGCTCTTTCCATATTCAACACTTACTGCTATCGAATGGAAAATAATAAGGTTCAACTTATGAAACACAACATTTAATTTATCAACAACTATAAACAGCCTACTGTCAAGGCATGCTGTGAGCTGAACAAAAGAATCATATGCTTGAGCTGTGTATATGTGGAAGCTTATCTCATTGTTTTCTTCTACTTGTGATGATTATCAATATTCTATTATTAATTTCAACAGATAAAAATATGATTCAAAACCTACATTTTTGCAAATGGACTTTCTACAAACTGGCAACCAAGACCTCTCAAAATTTGGGGAAAAACTTTAAAACAAACAAAGTTATATAATAATATTGAATTAGAATAATAATGGAATTGATTTTAAAGCATTTTCACCAATTTAAAAGAAGAGAATCTTTTAATAACTTATTTTAATTCTTCCATATTCAACCTCATTTCAACCTTTAGACAATGTGATTTTCTAGCTGGTACATGGCTGCCTACTTATAAATATACAACAGAATCTGGTTATAAGATGCCTCACTCGTACATAGACTAACATATACCATGCATTAAACCAGATTCAGTTATAGATTACAACTACAATGAAAACCTAATATGTCAGTCTGCAAATCAGAGGTTAATCTGATTCTCTTGAAACATTACTGTTAAAAAGACACTCCATGGGGCCGGCCCGGTGGCGCAAGCAGTTAAGTGAGCGCGCTCCGCTGCGGCGGCCCGGGGTTTGCCGGTTCGGATCCTGGGCGCTTACTGATGCACCGCTTGGCAAGCCATGCTGTGGCGGCGTCCCATATACAGTAGAGAAAGATGGGCATGGATGTTAGCCCAGCGCCAGTCTTCCTCAGCAAAAAGAGGAGGATTGGCAGATGTTAGCTCAGGGCTGATCTTCCTCAAAAAAAAAAAAAGACACTCCATGGAATAAAGATATTCTAAGAGATAGGATATTCAAAACCTGTCTACAGAAAGAGAAATCATACATACAATTATATACACATGCCTACAGCAAGAAAAAAGAAGTCTAAGAGTAGCATTTTTCCACTCACAGGTTGTAATCTACTAAGGAGTCATAAAATCCATTTAATGAGTGGCAACCAGTATTTTCATAAAAATAGAAGAGAATGGAGTGGAATGAAATGCAATAGACTAGAATAGACAATATCAGTGTGCGCTGCACATGAGAAGGTTAAGTATCCTTTTGGGAAAGGTACTAAAACTTGTTTCAGATGCATGTACAGGTATTGTATGCGTTCGCTGGGTTATGAAGTAAAATGTATTTCTTACTATAGATATGGTCCTTATTAGAGAAACATTTGCCTTAGAGAATCCTATGCCAAGACAGAGAAAGAGCCGTTGGTTGACCAGATGTTCTTGAACAGCTTTGCGACAATAAGAAGCATGAGAGTGCAGAAGATTTCGCCCTGGCTCTCTAAGAACAACTCGAGGGAATTGAGTCAGAAGGCCAAGAAATTTAGGAGAACTGTGCCTAACCTTTAAGTCTAAATGAATAGGAGACTCATAGGAGAACTCCAAGCTGCCAGAATTCTAGCTACACATATGCTCCTAGGTAGACGACCCAGGAAGAAGTAAGGTCTAAGTTCATCAAAGATAGAAGGGGAAGATACGCTAAGGTGGTGCTACTTCAGAGCAAGCTCCCCCGTTGACAACTCTAGTTCACACAATCTAGAAATGTCTTCTGAGGCTTGTGTAGGGACTCTAAACTTGAGGATAAGCGTACCCATCAAGCCTCATGACATCTTTGAAAGAGAATGAGCTGGGCCCATTTCTTTGGCTAATTTCTCGTGGTAAATAGTTATCCTATATAACCTCTCCCCCCCTCCCGAAAAAAAGAACAAAATAGCCCTGGCTATCTCTAGATGAAATTTGAAAATAGGGAGTCTTTTTGCCAATCTCCCCTTTGGTCTTCACCTTTCAATTCTGTTTCCTCCTGCTCCTGCTTATATTCACTCTCAGTCCTCCCACAATCCTTCTCCTAAGGTTTCTCTCTCATCTAGTCATCTCCTAATCCTCAACGAAATGAATTGCTAATCCTCTATTAAAGGATGAATTGCTAAAGACATACGATACATCCTCCCCCAGGGATGTGTATAGATGAACAAATATCTGAAAATGGAGCTCTGATACCTCCACAAGAGCGAGAAGAGCTGATCAGAGTAGGGCTTCACCCTTTCGCACAGATGTCCACACCATTCACTCATAAGCTTGGCTCTTTAAGGATTTATGGGTTTGCTCAAGGTTGAATTTGCATCAGCACATACTTTTTCCAAGGGATATGCCTTATCGTTGCTGTCTAGAAATTCAAGCAGCTGCTTGCCTGGCGCGCTCATTCTCTAGAAATTACTCAAGTGATCTACGTAGAAGACAAACAAGTGGTGCTTACTGCCTCCATCGACGGCTCAGTGAGGTATGGACCTTCACATTGTGAATTCAGTACTTTGAGCATGAGAGGTAAAAGATTCTAAGCTAAAGTTTCAGGCAATCTTCATTAGATGATTAAAATAGATAAATAAATAAACAGCAAATAAAAGGTGGTACAAAAGCGCTTTGGGAAGATGGCCACTGATTTGGAATTCTTTTCCATGCCCAAGGAAATGAGATGCCCTGCTCATCTATGTTAGAAGGTATAACAAATACTGTAATAAAGGGTGTTTTTTTTTTTTTTTTTTTTTTTTGGAGACTTATTTCAAAGAATTAAACAAGATGGGTAGCTCAGAGAGATAGACCTAAGCCCCGGGAAGGTTACAGGAGACACAGGATCAGAAGTCATAAAAAAGTCATAAAAAGAACAACTAACACTGAGAGAAGTGAAAAGTGAGCTAATTGTTTCATGGACAATGTGATTGATTTTGCAAAGCCTACTTGTTTTAATTGCCTAGATAATGCTAAGTATACACACACAAAATACTAAAAACACATATATACATAAAGAGAAAGGAAATGTCGTGACATTTCTTGAGACAAATTGCTGCATATTAAAATGTTTTAAAATCATGGTAATGAGGGCCGGCCCCGTGGCTTAGCAGTTAAGTGTGCACGCTCCGCTGCTGGCGGCCCGGGTTCAGATCCCGGGCGCGCACCGACGCACCACTTCTCCGGCCATGCTGAGGCCGCATCCCACATACAGCAACTAGAAGGATGTGCAGCTATGACATACACCTATCTACTGGGGCTTTGGGGGAAAAATAAATAAATAAATCATGGTAATGAATTATCCTCTGAAGGGAATAAAGTTAGGTAAGATCAAGAGAGGCAAAGAGGCTTCAAAGTGTATCCAATAATTTAAACATAATGGAGACAAAAAGGGAGGAATATTGTATGTTGCAGGAAAGACCATGGGCTGAAATTCAACAGAGCCTGGCTAGCTGGGTGAGCCTGAGGCTGACGTGGATCTTCACCTTGAAAGAAATAGCCATCAAAGGATGTTAAGAGGGAGACTAACATGATTTGATTTACATTAAAAAAGTAATAATAATAATGTGTGGGAAATGGACTTCAGAGCATCAATAGCAGAGCAAAGAGACTAGTTAGAAGTGTGTGGTGAAGGTGGTGGCTTGGATTAGGGGAGTGGCAGCGGTGCTGGAAACAAATACTCTGCATTTGAGGACAATCCAGGATGTAAACTCCGGAAGACGGGAACTTTAGCTGAAAGGGGAGGTAGGCGACAGATGTCAAGAATGACCACTGGCATATACAACTAGGTGAACGTTGGGGCCATTCATTGACAGAGGAGGCACTAGAAGAGGAAAATATTTAGCATGTAGGAGGATGAAGGAGAGCTTTTAGAAACGTTGAGTTCAAGGCGAATCTGTGGGGGTAAGATCCTATTTGGGGGCAAACAGAGCTGCTTCCTCTGTCGGAAAGGGGATCTGTTGTTTTATTTGTAGGAAAAATTAAGAACATGACATTTCATTATTATAGATGTTTTTCACAACTTTGTTCCTTGGGTCTCTGCTCTAGCTTATTTTCAGCTACCTGCCAGCAGAAGTGCTAATTGGGGATTGTAACGCGGGCACACACACACCCCCCATGTGTCCCATGTACACACACCTCTGTTGTTCTGAGCATTCTCTGCTCAAACCAGTTACCCTTGGCATGGAGAAATTACTTTTATGAGTCCTCAAGTGAAGATCTCCCTAGACAGTCAGTTCAAAAAACCTAGCTCTATTAATAGCTATGTCAGAATACAGTTCTCTTCATAACTGAGCCACGTCCTTTTGCTAAGACTGGCTGCCATTTTCTAAAGGAGTAGGCAATTTTAACACTCTAAGTATTGTTTGTGTAAAAGATTATGATTTTGTAATAGGAAAAAGCATAATAAAGGCTTAGCTCTGGGACAGAGCATAGACGGGGCTAACGATCCATAGCTGAGGCCCAGGAAAGCAGGCTGAGAGGTAGGATCAGGCATCTGGGAGAGCTCCACATGGAGCAGGAAACACCACAAAACAAGGAGCTCAAATGTTACTTCAGTCCTTGCCTAAGATAGAATGAATTTAGAGTTGTCCTGAAGTTAGTCTCTCACCCCTCTGACTTCTGTGTTGAAAGGGCTGGGTCATTTCACTTTGGCAAAGGCTCTGGCAAGGAGGCCATGACATTGATGCAGTGTTGTGGAGTTAAAATATGTAAGGGATGTAGGCTGCTCCTGTTCTTAGGACATGTCAGGTGTGAGGAGTCCCTCTGGACACCTCTGCTCTGCCTCCGCCTCGGTGCCTACCTCTTTGATCTGGAACACTCCTTGGACTTTGTGGAATCTATTCTTAGTTCATTTAGCTTGTCCACTTCGTGGGTCACTGCAGCAGGCACATGATGATCGTTTCCATCATTTGCTACTCTGAGGTTGAAATCAAGACACAAAAGGAAGATCTTCCCAATACTATTTTATCTTTCCAAAAGACATTGGGGATACACTCCTGCTAATGACCTTCTGTATTTCTTTAAACTACGTGGGCTACTTACAGGGACCTCTTGGAATGAATTGATGGTGAAATAATGTATATGGATAAGGAGCCACTTCTTTTGCCATCCTATTTCAGAATTCAGTTGTAGATATTAGCATGGTATTTCCACAATAATAGGATTTGTGGTTGGAGGTTGAGAGGATTTTGGTAAAAGTAAAAGCATCACTAGCTATCTCCTCCCATTAGTTATACTGATGCTGATACAGAAAGTAGACAGCTGAGATATAGCTCATTCTAAGGCCCAATTCAACGAAGACACTGTCAATCGATGTGGGTTCTGATTAGCTTGAATGAGCAGTGGAAAATTGGTTCCTTATTTTCCAGCTCTAATGAATAGGTATCATAAGTACAGATTCAAATGGACATTTCTCAAAATTGTTGTGGATTAGAATTCTGATAAAAATGTTTATGATTAGCTCCACATATTTAAGAAGAAGAGTCTTGGACTCAAGTTTAAAATCCCTGATGGACCAGTGAAAATCTACATAAATGATCTAATGAACAGAATAACTTCCACTGAATTCCAGTTACTTTCTCCTCCCCGCCTTTACTTTCCTCAGGCTCTGGCATGCCCACAATGGTCATTACTGTGGATATTTTGGACAGCAAAGGATCTTTGAAATATCACAGACAAGTGATTTCATTTTGCCTTGTGATGTTAGTGAACATCCCATAGAAATAAAAGAAGAAAGCAAATTCATAGAGAAGAAGCAAAAATATGAATATCCTCTGGTATTTGACCAGAAAAGGTAAGAACACTGAGTTTTTTTTTAAGATGGGCTGACAAGAATTAGACTATTATGATATTGTGACACTGTGCTGGATGTGGAAAACTAAAAGATGAAAAGTCCAGAACTTTGAAATAATTTTGCAATGCATGGAAAGGAGAAATACTTAAACAAAAAACTACAATTCAGTATAATAGCACTGCTAGGAACATCTGATTCTGAAGATAATCACAGAGGGGTAAATAGGATTTACCCAAACAAAGAAGACCAAGGAGGCAATTGCCTAAGCAATGGCACTAAATAATGAAAGACTGTGATATAGTCTTTCAAGGCTTGGAGTCCAGTGATCAAGTAGGGAGGACATGGTAGGAGATAAAGCAAGAAAAGTCTATAGGGGCCAAAGCACAATGAACTTTTTTTATGGGCCAACATAAGGATTTTAAACTTTACAGATATCACTGGGACACGATGCACAAGAGGAAAAACAAGTCTGAAGAAAAGGACAGTGAGTTTTTGGACAGGTTTAATTCTGAGATGCTTGTGGAACAGCCAAGTGGAGGTATTTAATGAGCACTGAGATGGACCTGTCTAGAGTTCCCAAAAGAGGCCAGAGCTATAGATATAGATTTTGGAGTCATCACATAGTAGTATTTTCACTACGGATAAGTCACTTAGGTCCTGTGTACAGAGTGAGAAAAGTGGAAAACTAAAGAAGAAATCAAGAAACAGTAGCGTCTAAAGAGCAAGCCAAGTGAAAAACACTGAGAAGGAATAGCCGGGATTTTGAAAGGAAAATGACAAATAAGCGGTATGATGGAAATCAAGGGAGGAGAGAGTTGTAACTAACGTGGTGGAAAGGACACATTTTAGAACATGGCAGTGAGGTCACAGAAGACAACAGAAAAGTAAACATTGGATTTGGCATGTTTGTCAGCTGAAAAGTCATTGATGACACTAGAGAGGGTAATTTCAATGGAGTGATCGGTAAAAATAACATTGCAGTGGTTGAGAAATAAATAGAATATGTGAGGTGATGGTAGTAGAAATCACTATTTTTAAGAAAGTCAAATAGCTCTAGGGTTGAAGAAGAGTTTGTTTCATGGGTTTGCTTGTTTGTGCAGGAGACTTGAGCAGGCTTAAAGGCTTAGGAAAGGGAGGATCGTTTTGCAACAGAGAATAGAATGTTGGTGAAAAGCTGTTTTGTGCTTTTGCGAAACTCAGTCCTGGTTTTGCCTGTGGTCTGATCTTTGTCATAGTGGAAGAGATTGGTGCTCATCTGAGCTTTCAACATCAGCAAAGCTCAACTCTAGATGATGGATACCTAATGTTTAACCCTCAAGGGACCCAACTTACCTAGACTGGTAACATCGAGCAGACCAGAACTGGGGGAGCTGACTAGATGAGTCCAAAGTGGGAAGAATCAGAGAGGGTTGTCTAAGACAAAGTCTTTTGGGAAATCCTAAGTGAGTCAAAGCTGGGGAGATCCAATGCCATCATCTAGTCCAAAGGTTGGTAGAATGGCTATAAATAGGAATTGAAGCTAAGAGTCAGAAGCCACATAGAATTTGGATCAAAACAAGAGCCATTTGAAAACAATCAACAAGGGTTCCAGGTGACTACCAAAACCCTATTAAAGTGTTCAAGGCTTGCCTTGGCTGGACAGTAAAGAGCACTGGAGAAGAAGTCTGGCTAAAATATAAAAGGTGGTGTGGTAGAGCCAAGACTCATAAAGATGTGGTAAAGTTCACCAAGCAAAAGTCAATCAATCTCCTTCGGGTAATTGCTGAGTCTTGAACATCCATATATCTTAGTACTTAAAACAATATATCTTAATTTGTTAATGTTCATCTCCTTCACTATTCTGTAAGTTCCTTGACGACTAGGACTGTGTTTTATATGTCTTTATATCCCCAAATCTTAGCTCAATGCTTAGTTAGCATACAGTAGGCACTCAAAAGTTATTTGTGGAACAAATAAAGAACGACTAATGGAGAACATCACAAGCAGAGGCAACAAATGTAAATGGTAGATGCAGAAGTATGAAACAGTATGATAGCTTAAATGTAGGATATGTGTTCACGTTATAAGTAAATAATTCTCTCTTGTCTGTAGCAAAATGGGCCTTCCTCTATAGAAGTACTCCATCTTAAGACATACTATTATCTTTAAACAATGATTTTAATGCTCAGTTATGACTTTTTAAATATATGCATAAGCAAGTTTTAACTACAGTGGAAGCTGCCCTGAGTCGCATGAAAGTCAAGCGGTGGTTTTGTACCCAAGGTTTCCTCATCCGTGCGACACATTTTTTCCAATGGCTATTAATGGATTTAACTACATGGCATGTTCACTACCTAGGGATTTCTTGGTAGAAATCTCTGTGGTTCCCCTGGAGGGAAATGTGGGAAGTCAGGTGGAGCAAGGGTCAAGTGCAGAGGTAGTATCATTAGGACTAAGTCATGGGAGGCAGAGAATTTGGGGACCCAGAGAAAGAATGGTGTAATTGATACTTGTTTAGGAGGCAGAGAATAAAGGGTGTGGGTACGTACTTAACAGTTTTTCTTGTATCTTTTTATGCAGATGGAAAAAAATGAGCTCAATGTCTTTGCTTTTCAAACGTACACCTCCCAAGACTTTTGAAGTGGCACATGATTTTAAGTTTTTCAAGTCTCTTTCTTCACCCAAGGTGACTTTAAAATGAACAAACACAATGACTTTGCTTTTGTTTTCCTGAATTTAGATATGTACGGTGTATTAGTTTTCTATTGCTGCTGTTACAAATTACTACAAATTTGGAAGCTTAAACTATGTAAATTAATTACCTTACGGTTCTGTAGGTCAAAAGTCCGACCTGTTTTCACTGGGTTAAAATTAAGGTGTTGAAAAGCCAGAGCTGGGTTCCTTTTCTGGAGGCTCCAAGGGAGAATTTCGTATTCCTGCGATTGTGGCCCTCTTCCTTCATCTTCAAAGCCGGGAGTGTTGCATCTCTCTGACCATTCTTCTGTGGCCATATGCCTCTCTAAGACAATGGGAAAGGTTCTCTGCTTTTAAGGATTTCTATGATTAGATCGGGCCCACCTGGATAATCCATCTCAAAGTTCTTAACCTTAATCACATCGGCAAAGTCGCCTTTGCCAAGTGAAGCAATATATTCACAAGTTGGGGACGGGGGTAGGGGCTACGAGGTGGACATCTTTGGTTGCTAGTATTCCGCCTATCACAGAAGACACACTTTGCTTCAGTCCAGAATAGGAGAGAAAAGCGTACTGCTATTCATTCTATTTCTATTTCAAACACTTCTAAGGAATGGATATAGTGTGAGTCTTTAGGCTAATGTCTGGCATTAACTAATTAAAACTGACTTCTTCCAGATCTTCCACAAAATAAACCAAACTTACCTCTCTAAACTTATCTCCTGTTACTAACCTACAGTTGTCCCTCCCTCTACAAATCAGACTAGCTGTTGTTTCCCTGAGTATTCCTCTCAGTCTTCTGCCCCTACAGTTCACTGGGGCTCTCCTTGATGTATTCATGACCCCTCTCTATCTGTCGAAGTCCATCCTATCTCTGCAACTACCTTCATAACTTACAAAGAATTAGTATCCAGAATAGGAAAAGAACTCCTAATAAATCAATAAGAAGAAAAGACAGTCCAATTAAAAAAATGGTCAAACACTTGAATAGATATCTCACACACACACACACAAAAACATTTACCAATAAACACATGAAAAGATGTTCAACCTCAATAGTCAACATGGAAATTCACATCAATCGCATTAAGAGATACCATTTAACACCCACCAGATTGGCAAATATCAAAAAGTCTGACAATATTAAGGGTCAGTGTGTGTTTGGCACAATCAGAATGCTAATACGTTGATGGAAGTAGTGTAAATTGGTAGAACCACTTTGGAAACCAATGTGGCATTATCCAATAAAGTTGAAAATAAACATACCCTACTAAATACACACCCTAGGAAAACTCTTGGACACGTGCTTAGGAGGCAAGTATGAGAATGCTCAGAGCAGTACTGTTTGTAATAACAAAAACCTGAGAGCAGCCTAAACGCTCATCAACAGTGTAATTGGTAGATAAATTACAGCATATTTATAAATTGGAATACTACAGAGCAGTGAAAATAAATGAACTAGAATAACACTCACCTACAAGAATGAATGTTTGCAACATACTATTGAAGGAGAAAAGTTTTGCCTAAGAATACATACATTATAATTTCATTTATATAAAAGTCAAGAAGAGGCAAAACTAAATATTATTTTGGCAAAAAGCATATAAGGTAAAACTATACAAATAAAAGGAAGAGAATTCAAAGCACAAAATTCAGGAAAGTCATTACGTCTGAGGGCAGTGGAAAGGACTGAGGCACACCAAGAACCTCAAAGTTGGGGGTACTGTTCCAATTTGTAAAACAGAGCAGTGGGCCCATGAATGTTCATATGTCATTATTCCTTTACAATATCAATTTTATATTTAATAAATATTTAACTTCCCAAATGAAACAATTTGCATAAATCCTACCTTTCTGTCAAAATGAAACTCAGATAGCTTCTCCCAGAAGACAGGGTGACAGGCAGGAGAGGCACTGGATGTGGGGTGTGACAGACTCAGGTTTAATCTTAGATAACTTATTTTATGTCTTTCGTCATCTGAAAAGCCTTCAAAGAGTTGTGAGAATTAAATGAGAAAGGATCTGCTAGGTACATTGTAGATACTCAATAAATGTTAATTCCACTTTCCCCAAAGGCCCCTATATCTCTCTGTTTCATGTCTCCTAACATGTTCACTAACTGTGTTCTCCACTGAATGAGAACTATTTGTATATTTACCTTTACTCCCCCCCACTACTAAATCATAAGTTCTTTGGGCAAAGATATATGCATAACATGTGACAAATACTCAATTTTGATGAATAGGATCGAAATAGCACAACCTAAAAATAAAGACTGGTACTCACTTTTAATATTCTCTTCCAGTTTGAAGATAAGAAATAAATTTTTTTAAAAAGTAATTTAACCAAAACATTAAATAAATTTGGGGATATCTTTAGAAAGGTTTTAAAGCTCCTGAAACAATTGAATACCCCAGATACTTGCCCTTTTCTTACCACACCTTAGCTTCTCAATTGCTTGGTAAAATAACAAAGATTTAATGCTAAAGTGAAGTTAAAATACCTTTCACTTAGGAATCTCTGATTTTTACCAGCAATCTTGTTTTGCCCATTCCTTTTCATTCTCAGCTGTGTAATATTTATCTATTCACTTCTTCTCTGTTAATTTATTTTTGACATATTGTTATCAGTAATAATAATACAATGGTACAAAATCTTACATTTGGGTAGCACCTTACTATATACGTTATCTCATTTGATCCTCATAACTAGTCAACAGGGAAAGAACTTACCTAAGGTCATGCAGCTAGTAAGTAGCAGAGTTGGGATTTGAACCCAGGAATTTTGCCATGGATGGAATGTGCCCTTTTCACTAAACATTCACTCCTCTGTTTTGCAGATTCAAAGACATGCCTTGGAAGGTTTCATGACTGAAAACAGAGAGGCAGGGATTGTATTTGGTTCTCTGCCTATATATAGGGTGAGTTGGAGGTTTCTAGGACTAGAGTGGTTACAGAACAATAGGGAGTCTGACATCTCATTCTTGACACTGGGCTACCAAGCAAGGTTGGAGAAAATCCCATAACCACGATGACTGCTTCCATAAACACGCTGTGTCCCATTCCAGAGAAGTCTTTGGTTGTGTGTGTGAATGGCCTTGATCACTTGTCGCTGCCGTTCCACATTGAACCACACTACAGGAAACTATTTCAAACTTTACCCTGGCTCTTCATCACCTACAGGATAAGATACAAATGCTTTTAGCCTGGCACACAAACCCTTCACAATCTGGCCTCTGCCTGAATTGCATGACTTCTTTTTCTACCACATTCTCCATGTACCCTCTGCTCCAGCTGTGCCAAATTACTTGCCGTTTCTTAAGCATCTCTGTTCTTTCTACTTCTGCAACTTTGCAGGTGCTGCTTCTACCCAGGATTCATCCACGCTTGTTTCCCTCCAAATCCTCTCTCATCTTGCAAGTCTTCACTCCAGATAACCTTGGTTAAAGTAAAGAACAAATTAATTAATCAAGAATAATAAACCGAAGATGAAATATTTCAACTTAATCTTATTATTTCTTAAAATGTGACTTCTCCTTCCCAAGAACATGTTCATTGGAATAGATTCAAACACTTAAGTTAGAGATGATGCTAAGGGGGAAGCATCAAGAATCAATAGTGGGCAACTGAAAAGGGGCAGGTGTATTTTAAAGCAGTTGGACCTTCTCACTCCCCATCCCCCACCCCTGAATTCACATTACAGAGGTAATCACTACGTATGTCTTATTAACTCTTTATTTATGTTTCTAGATACCAAGCCCCACTAGTCTAAAATTCCTTCCACTCATTGACTCAGAAGCACTAAGGGACTCTACAGATGGCATTCCCGGAAAAAAGAAGGGAGGTCACGTTCAACATGAAAAAGTAAATTAGTACTTCGAATTCCATAGTGTATCCCATTTCTGTTTGGATTGTTAATCACTTCTTCTGTGCCCAGAAACATTCTGGGCCTAAAATTATCCCAGTTCATACTCTTTCTATGAATATTCCAGAATGCATGTGTTTTAGCTCAGTGAAATGGAAATCATAAATTTGCTAGATAGAAAAATCAAGCAGGACCTCCGAGTCTGACAAATGAAAGTTTTCTAGAGCTAATTTAAGACTTAGGTTCAATGACTAGTTTTAAAAGCTAGGCAATATGACATAACATATCTGAGGGCTGTATAACCATCCTTGCTTCTTAATCTTACTGTACCTACAGGATGGAGCCATGACATCAGTAAGTTTCTAGCTTACCTGCCAAGTCAAGGAGAACTTTTCCCATGTATATTAACAGGAATAACTAATATATAATGCTTTACAGTTTACATAGTGTTTTTATAAATGATTCCTTTGATTTTCACAATAATTACAAAGAAAATGTTATACTCATCTTAGATTTGGCAAAAAATGGAGCTTAAAGGGAGGTTGAGTGACTTGCCATAGATCACATAAGAGTTAAGTGATAAGCTGAGATCTACTTCTGACTTCAAATTTCATGCTCTTCTATTAAACTACGTGGCCTGAAAAAACTCAAACCCTATTGCTTGTTTACTAGTTCTAGGAAGCTTGTATGGGCCTTTGGCCATTTGTCTAGTCATTAAAATAGATCAAACATTAAGAGGAAGATCTAACATATGGCAAGTTTTATAAACCCCCATTCCATGAAGTCAGTCTAAAAACAAGAAGGAGATGGTTCTTATTGTCTGTCTATCTGTCTTGTTGAGCGACAGATAACAAACACAACTACGACAGCAACAAAAAGCTGCTTTATGTAATTAATATAGACAATTTGACGATAATTTTGTTAGCTTGTGCACTTAATGAGAATATGAATGATCCTTGTTAGTCATCAACTCTACAAACTATTTGAGTCAGAATTTTTGGCAACAAAAGAGTTTTCTATAAAAATAATATCATTTAGTTCTAATTGTTTTAACTGATGGATGAAACACAGTGGTATAAATAATCCAAAACTAACAGGTAATCAAGAGTATTTGTTTTGGGTTTTATAATTCATATATTTTATGCCCTGTATTTGCATTCTTGTTTGTTTTGCCCATCTGACATTAAATATACTTTAAATCTTTAAGTACAAACTAAGTGACAGAAAGAAGGTAGCCAAATATGTGTTAAATGCCAGGGGGAAGACAAAAATGGAGTTAAAAATTAGTCATGGATAATCTATATAATGAATAATCTATACTCAGGTAATCAGGAATTGATTATACTATGATTAATTTTATTCCAGATCATGAAATATGATAAATTATTTGTCCAATCACAGAGAAATTTTTAATATATCTATTGTTTTAATAGATGCTTTATTTTCTCTTAACTGCTCTGATGGGTCATTACCCTCACAAGGAAGGCAAAAGGAGTAGATGTCTCCATTTGCTTACAGAAAAAGAGCCACAAAAGCGTGATTAAAAATTCTCTTTCTGGTTTAATGAAGAAAAGAGTTAAACGTGGTCAGGGGGTTAAAATTAGTTTCCAAAATAAAATTAGGCCCTTTTCAGAAAATTATGTATTTAGCAAGATGTAAATAAAATCTGGAAACTGGGATAGATTAAAGCACCACTACACTGATTATCTGCAGTTTTAGGAACCCAAACAGCCTAACTGGGAAAATAGTAGATGAAATCAAATCAATAAATACACATCAAATGCCTATTTTCATAAAAAAAGCACCTCCAGGAAGGTGGGCAAAAAATTACCTCAGAAAGTTTGGTGTTCAAATTCCAATTTTGTGAAACAAATATTTATGGAATACCTTGACATATCTACCACGTGCCCTGCACTGTGCTAGGCTCCAAGAAGCCAGCATAGATCAAGGAGCTCACAGTACAGAGGGGAGGAAGTCCTCTGGGCAGAGTCCAAGAACAGGTGTCTCAAGCCCTTCGATTTTTTTGTGTGTGTGTGAGGAGGGTTAGCCCTAAGCTAATATCTGTTGCCAATCCTCCTCTTTTTGCTGAGGAAGACTGGCCCTGGGCTAACACCGATTCCCATCTTCCTCTACTTTATATGGGATGCCACCACAGCATGGCTTGATAAGCAGTGCATATGTCCGCGCCCGGGATCCGAACCTGCGACCCCGGGCCACCAAAGCAGAGCAAGAGAATTTAATCACTGCACCACCAGGCTGGCCCCTGATTTATTATTTTTAAATAATAAAAATGCTGGTTCTCAGTATTAATGTCTTTAAATGGTTTGTAAGTCTCTTTAGAATTCAATAACAAGTTACAAAATATTAACCATGGTACAAGAAAACAAAAATCAGAGCATAAGTTTACAGTTTCTTTTCAGTTTAAAGGTGGGAAGAGAGGGAGAGAATGTGAACTTTATGACGTGTAATCCACTTTCAAAATTGTGGAAGCATATCCAACAATAGAGAAATGATTAAGAGAAAGATAATGTGATAGCATACTCTATAGTTTTTCCAAAGAATATTTAAATAACAGAGAAACACTTGCAATTTTATTTTGGGTGAAAAGAGTATTTAAACTCTAACTGAGTGATATTGCTAATGATAGTGGTTAAAATTTATTTTACAATTAGTGCACCAGGTACAATGCTGAACATCTGATAGGCACTATTTCACTTAATCTTCACAACAACACTTTGAGGTAGTTACGATTATCATCCACATTTTATAACTGAGAATACTGAGACATAACATACGTAATCCCCAAAGAAATCTAAGATCCCCAAAGAAATAAGTAATAGAGCTGAGAGTTAAACCCAGAGATTGACTTCAGAGCCTGGACCCTTAAATACAAGGCAGTGTAATTCAGAGATAGGTGAGCTGCTAGGCCTCTCCTGGTCAGAATAACCATATGTGAGTTTATAAAGAAGGAACACTGAAGGGGGTGGCCTGGTAGTATAGCGGTTAAGTGCATGTGCTCCGCGTCGGTGGCGCAGGGTTCACAGGTCTGGATCCTGGGCGCGGATCTACACACCGCTTGTCAAGCCATGCTGTGGCGACTTCCCATATAAAGTAGAGGAAGATGGGCTCAGATGTTAGCCCAGGGCTAACCTTCCTCAGCAAAAAAAAAAAAGAACATGGAAGAAACTCCCTTCCTGTGACTCTACCCCTCACTCTAGTTTATTTTTCTTCTCAGCTCCTGTCACTACCTGACATTACATTATATAAGAATTCACTTATGTTTATTGATTCTATCCCACTAGAATGTAAGAGTCCTGAAGGCAGGAACTTTGACTTACTCTCTGCCAGAACTCCAGTGTTTAGAACAGACTGACACACAAGTGACACTCAAAACACATTTGCTGGGGCCGGCCTGGTGGCGCAAGCGGTTAAGTGCGTGCACTCCGCTGCGGCGGCCTGGAGTTTGCCGGTTCGGATCCGGGGCGCGCACCGAGGCACCCCTTCCTCAGCAAAAAAAAAAAGAACATGGCCGAGCCATGCTGTGGCGGTGTCCCATATAAAGTGGAGGAAGATGGGCACGGATGTTAGCCCCGGGCCAGTCTTCCTCAGCAAAAAGAGGGGGATTGGCAGATGTTAGCTCAGGGCTGGTCTTCCTCACAAAAAAAAAAAAAAAAAAATCACATTTGCTGAATAAAAGAATGAATGAGTTAGAAGTAGGAGGAGGAGGAGGAGGTGGAGGACAATAAAAGAAAATTAAAGAAAGAAAGATTGCTGCTGCACAAACTGAGGTTCTCTTGCCTGATGCGTATTAAAAAAAAAAACAACAACAATTATTAAGGCATCAGCTTTTGGGAAAAGAAATCAGCTTTATTCTGCGAGATCAATCTGCAGGAAGACAGTGGGTGTGTGCCCTTGGATCTGTCTCTCTCATTCAGGGTTTGGGGTGAAATTTAAGAGGTTAGGGAGAACAGGCTGGCACGTGGAAATGCTGGCAGGACAAGTTATGATTGGTGGGCTTCAAGCATTTATGGTAAGGTTCTAAACATTTATGATGAGGTTCTAAACATTTATGGTAAGGTAGGGAAGGAATTTTAACACTGGATCTTCCTGAAGGATGGATCTTTTGCTTCTGATATGAGTCTGACTTTTAAGTTCTGGTCATATCCCCGTCCTTTGGTTCCACGGGGAAGAGAATCTTTGGTTCCTCGGTCATTTCAGGTCAAAATTACTTTTTCTGCGCATGTTCTGGCTATGTGACTTTGCAAATTATCTGAAAGACAGTTTCTTAATCACTCAGTTGATAAGAGATGGAGTCTGTTCGAACTGGCTCTAAATGGGCCCATGGTTACAAGATCAGTGCAGCTTGGGAAGTTGCCTCAGGTGTTTAGCATATTGCTCTAGGGAACTAAGTCTCCGACCTTGTCTCAGGGAGAAGGAGGAGCAGTCACGTGACCTACGAGAGTCCAAGCCTAAGGCATCTTTAGGTGGTTGTATTTTGACGTTGGGCGTCACCCTGTCTTTCTTTACCTTATAATTTTCTGTGATTCTCTCCCCTTTTTCTTCTTTCTCTCTTCTTAATAGACCATAAAATCAAATTGATGTGTACTGTAAACATTGGCTGAATGTTACTGACAAAATTAGACACTTATTAATCTGAATTTTTAAATCAAGTGAATTTAACTTTATATATATATATATCTTCCAAAAATATCCAGTTCACAACTAACTTTCATTTCTTATTTGTGGGATCAGGACTTGATTTTATTTTCCTGTGAATCAATAGACTCTGATGATATTAATATACAATGTCTCTGTGTCTTACAACAACCTAGCGAGCACCTCTCTTTGTTTTGCTTTAACCAACCCTTTATAGATGGGGCGGTTGAGTCCCAGAATGGACAACCACCCAGTCAAGCAGTTCTAAAGCTTCTGTTCCTCCACCAAACTCTTCTGGAGCCCCATCTCCTGTTTCTAACACGTTTTTACTGGAGGCACACAGGATAGTTAAGTAAATAACTGTACCTTCTCTCTAGGAGGATTAAAATCTCTACAAAAATTTGTGGTGCAACTTGAGTCTAGAAAATTGCATGTGTCATATAATGCCAGTTACTAACTGACATGTTCTTTATTTCTCAGGCACCACGGAGGAGAAGTCTGAAAAGAAATTTGGTCCCACAAATAAATCTGGCTTCTTCCTTCTTCCCAGCCATCCCCAAGTGAAGAGAGAAAAGTCAGAAGTGGCTGCTGTGGCCTGAGCTGCACGTAAAATGAGAAGGTCTGAATGATACTCCAGCCTTTATTTCAGGATGAAAGGGAGGGTCCACCAGCCACTGTCACCATATCTGTATCCTCAGGACATCCTATCGATGGAGAAGATTGCTCACGGAGCTCAGGTGGCCTCAGTTCTGAACACCAAGCAAGCAGCAAGCAGCCAGTTGGCCCACTTCTTTCATACATCGAAATCCACTTAAGGAATCAGGCAAATGTTTCTTGTTTACTGTCAGCAAGATGACACGTAAGGAAACAAAGAAAATCAATAGCATAAGTAGATATAAAATAATGTGGTTATCAATTAGCTTTGCACTTCCCCTCATTGTTCACCATAATTCATAACCAGAATTATTGTCAGAATGTGTACAGTGAGAGGCAAATTACATGAGTGTCATGCTGTGTGGTATACTAACAGAATTATTAAAAAGAAAAATGCGCCAGTTAAGCCCCTCGCTATGTTTAGGGAAATGTCACGTGGAAGAAAATGTTTAGTTTCTTAGATAAAGTCAGAAGTGATTTACATTTAGTCTAGAAATCACTCCAGATAAATGGAACTTAAATGGTTATCTGAACTTTCTGGGGTTCATCTTATAATTGATTTTGGTATTTCGACCAAATGATTAATTTCACCGGTGGATACTCATTTAAAAAATGAAAGCATCTAAATTTGATCAGTAATAAATGAGATTTTAAATAAGTCAAAGACATGAGGAAAGTATCAGGATTGATGCCTGAAGACTGGCTGACCCAGGCCTCTTTGGGAAATGATTCAGAGCTCTGAGTAATAAAAGCGTTCCACGTCAGTGTTAGTCTACCTTCCCCAAAGCACAGGCCACTTGGTAAGAAAAAACTGCAGCCCCTTAACATTTGATTCTGCCTTTCCACTCTGCGAAGGGTTCTTTACTTCTTAAAATCCCGACAGCTTTGGAAACATAAGGAAATGTTTTATTCATATAAACTTTACTTACTGACTTCTTTTTATGTTTATTTCTAGGCATGTACTAATGTTTGTTTCTCATTGGAATGTGATCATTTCTCCTACTAATTTTCTTTTTCTTTTAATTTTTTTCTTCACATATTTTTTTTTTTGAGGAAGATCGGCCCTATGCTAACATCTGTTGCCAATCTTCCTCTGTTTTCTTTTTTCTCCCCAAGACCCAGTACATAGTTGTGTATCATAGTTGTGGAGTTGCAGCTCTTCTATGTGGGACGCCACCTCAGCATGGCTCGATGAGTGGTATGTAGGTCCGTGCCCAGGATCTGAACTGACAAGCCCTGTTTCTAAAATTTTTAAATAATTTGTATAATTTGCTCAAATCAAAGAAGAGACTCTAGAAAAAACATAGTATAATTATGGAAAATTAGTACCTATCAATAACTAAGTAAGCCAGAAGATTCTTTTTTTTTCAGTCGAGGTATAATTGACATGTAACATTATATTAGTTTCAGATATACAACACAATGATTCGATATTAGCATATATTGTAAAATGATCCCCACACTAAGTCTAGTTAACATCCATCCCCATAAACAGTTAACAGAATTTTTTTCTTGTGATGAGAATGTTTAAGATTTACTCTCTTAGCAACTTTCAAGTAAGAAATACAGTATTATTAACTATAGTTGCCATGCTGTACATTATATCCCCATGACATTTACTTTATAACTATTATAATTTTATAATTTTGTACCTTTTGACCTTCTGTACCCTTTACCCATTTTGCCCCAGAAGAATCTTTTTAAAAAGATTCTAAAAGTAAAAAAAAAACTTCCAAGGACTTTATGAAAATGATTCTACTTCCTGCCTTTTATTCTCAGTTGCAAAAGTAGGTCATTTCATCCCAAGGCATAGATTTCCCAAAACAAGACAATATTGAATGCCCTGCCATGCACTCAATCCCTTTAATATGGCATTCAATGCCCTAAATTAGTATTCTTTTCCCTTTTTGACTGAGGAATTCTCTCAAATTTCTTTTAACAGAAATATACAATTTCTTGACCTTCTTAGGATTTTAAAAAATATTTCAGCAGTTTTGCACATTATGTAATAAGTGATTTTATTTTAGTCAGTATACCGTTAAGAATGGCAGTATAACTAATATGTAATTATAATAATATAATTTTAATGATATACATAATATGTAGAAAAATTTTATTTTTACCCTCATTTATCAAAGACAGGCTGATTAAATTAATCATTTAAGAAAAAGCTTGACTTGGGGCCAGCTTGGTGGGGTAGTGGTTAAGTTCACATGCTCCACTTTGGTGGCCTGGGTTCATGTGTTCAATCCTGGGCACAAACCTACACCACTCATCAAGCCATGCTGCAGCAGCAACCCACATACAAGACAGAGGAAGATGAGCACAGATGTTAGCACAGGGCCATTCTTCCTCACCAAAAAAAAAAAAAAAAAGTAGAAGAAGAAGAAAAAACTTGACTTGTTGCCAAATAAATTTAGAATACAGTCATGCACCGCATAACATTTCAGACAACAATGGACCACATATATGATGGTGGTCCCGTGAGATTAGTACTATATAGGCTGTGTGTGTAGTAGGCTATACAATCTGCGTTTGTGTAAATACACTCTATGATATTTGCACAGTGATGAAATTGCCTAAGGATGCGTTGCTCAGAATGTATCCTAGTTGTTAAGTGAATCATGACTGTATTCTATTACATCATGTTTGGTGTGGGGTTGAAATGTTTACTAAAATAGAGGATAATGACTTCCACTTCACGTAATGGTAGACCGCGTAATTTGGCCCAACCACTCCCACTGAGGACAACTAGGAAATGTAGATAGAATACAGAAAATATCTCTGTGATGGCATCTGAGCGCGAACAAGATGGCAAAACATAACCATGCCAGATTCTGGGGGAGGACCGAGGCTGAGCCCAACTTTTGAAGCCAACGTTCTCCTGCAAGCATGTGCTGGTTCCAGAAGGGAAGATTGAGAAGCCAACAAGCTGAAGTGGCAATTAAGGCTAAGGGGACAGGGAATGAAATCCAGGCCTCATCAAGGGGCAAGCCCTCTCACTTTGAGGTGAGGCTCCAAAGATCTGCATCCTAGAAATATGGGTGACGTAAAGGTAGACAGATCACTGGGGACTACAGTTCTGCTTCCAACTATCTCAATGCCTGAAATTGGACTAAGGTAATCCTGAATTGCCAGAGCCCCCAGGAGCCTGCAGAAACAAGGGCAAATAGTGTGGAGAAAGAGGACCTCAGCCTAGGCCTTAAATTGTGTCTTTATTGTTCCAAATATATGTATGACACACTATGAAAAACAACCAGGTACATGAGGAGACAAGACAACAAGACTGAGGACTGACAGAAAAAGCAGGCAGGAGAAACAAACCCGCGGGGGTGCCAGATGTTGGACTTACCAGATATAGACTTTAAAATAACTGTGCTCGCTATATTGGAGGAGACAAAACACAAGATGTCGAATTTCAGCAGAGAATTAGAAACTGTTGATAATTACCGAATGGAAATTCTCGAACTGAAAAACACAGTGATCAAAATTAAAAACTCAAAGGATATGACAACATAGGTCAATGAAAGAGAAAATTAGTGAGCTGAAAAATAGGTTAGAAGGAACTATCCATACTGAAGCATTGAGAGAGGAGAAGATGAGAGAAAGAGAGGGTAAACGCAGAGCGCGAGATGACTGCGGAAGGACAGGAGTACCAGGGGAGGGGGAAGAACGGGAACAGCAATACCACAAGCAGTTTTCAAAACCTCGTAAAAGCCACTAACCCGCAGATTCAGGAAGGGCCATTAGCGTTAGGTTAAACAAATCATTATTAATAAAGAGGAAAACAAAACTACGCATTTCATAGTAAAATTGCTGAAAACTGAACTGAAAGAAAAAAATTATGGAAGCAACCAGAAAGGGACAAAAGGACAAATTATCTTCAAAGGAGCACAATTAGGCTGACTTTGCCAACTTCTCCGCAGATAAAAAGGGGAGGGGGCCTAAAAAAGGAGAATGATAATAGAAAATGGATAGTAATATGGTAGATTGAACCCCAAATTTATCAATACTTATGAAACGTTTAATAGATTTAGTATTCAAATTAAAAGATGAATAGTCAGAGTGGATAAAATAAAACGAAACCCAACGATATGTCGTTTCTGAGAAACACAGCTGATATGTAAGGACACCAAGTTGATGAAGATAAAAGGCTAGGAAAAGATGTATAATGCCGAAACCAACTAAAAGAAAGCTGGTGTAGCTATATTAATATCAGACAATACCTTTATTTAAGTAAATAAAGTAAGCGAGAATCTTCATAACAGTTTTATTCGTAATGACTTAAAACTGGAAAAAGCCAGTATCCGTCAACAAAAGAATGGCCAAACAAACTGTGGTATAGTGGTCCATGGAATACTCTCAGCAATTTTAAAAAGAATAAAATACTAATGCAGGCATTAACATGGATCAGTCTCAAAAACGTGTTAACTTAGAATTTTTACAGAAAAAGATACATACTTTATGATTCCATTTATGTGAAATTCTACAACAGGCAAAACTAATCTTTGGCTTAAAAAAAAATTTAAAACAATGATGCCCTGGGGGGAAAAGGTGGCGATTGTCACAGATTGATTGGGAAGGGGTATAAAGAACTTTCTGGGGTGTTGGTAATATTCTTTATCTTGATAGGGTTTGGGTTACATAGCTATATGTATTTGTCAAAATACTACTAAATAATATTTCTACATTTAACTCTATGTAAATTCTTTCAAAAAATTAAGAGCTGTAAAGAAATATTCTAATTAATAATATGCATGCTAATATGATCGGCTAATATGATTATCAATGTCTTCAACTTACTTTGAAATGCATCTAAGAAATAAGATGAATTGATAGACTGATGGATATGTGATGAAGCAGATCAAATAACATATTAATTGTAGAATCTAGGTAGTAGAGATATAGGTGCATTCATTGTAGAATTATTTTAAATTCTTTGAATGTTCAAAATTTTTCCAAAATGAAATGTTGGAGGGAAAAGAAGTCTAATGAGGAAATGAATAAAATATTTTAGAGAGAAATTAAAGAAACCCTATACAAATGCGAAAGCGTATTTATGTTCGTGGTTTTGAAGACTCAGTTTTACAAAGATGTCAATTTTCCCTAGATTAGTCATCTATTGCTGCATTTAAAAAAACACCAAAAAAACATGAGTGGTTTAAAACAACAATCATTTTATTGGCTCGTGTTTCTGTGGGTAATTTGGGCTGGGCAC